ACTTCTTTCTGATTCTTAGTGGAGCCCAAATAGTTGGTCCACAGGACCTGCTACTACAAGCTCCTGTCCTTTCTGATGCTCTAGATCTTAAAACTCCCCGGGCCCTCTCGCTCTTCTGTGCTGATGAAATTCTCTTATTCTGCCACCTGGGCTCCCCAACACCTTTGTCCTCTACCCATTCCCATCTCCATCTGTCAAACTGCAAACGCAGGACCTTGGGCTCTTGTCTTTCATCCTGAGGGAACATGACGTCTGCCTCTGGTAACAGTGCTTGAGAATCCGTCCTCTGCACTTTTCCCTGTCTACTCCTTGTCCTTTTTCTCCTCAGAGAATAGGGGAAGTAGTAGGCAATGAAGAAGGTTGTGACATGTTCCCCATATGTTAATAAGTGTTATTATAACTATTTAAAAGTCTCATTACGTGACTCAAGCCTTAGTCACGTCAAGCCTTAGAATTCATAGGCACCAAATAAATCACCCAACCATGTACTGAGTGTGCCATTCAGACAAGGTGAACTACACAAGGCTACAAAGCTACTCGGTTAACTTGTCCCTGTCCTTCCCACTATCTTATCCTGAACTTCTTGGGAATTTCCTGACTTCTTGGGAACTTTCTTTGTAAATGCACACAAATCAATTCCTTTTAGTTTTTCCCCAAATTTTCTAGTCCATTGACTAGAAGATATTTCATAAGCTTCTGACTGCTATTGTTCCCCTCATTACCTAGCTGCCCACCTTTTCATACCCCACGTTGCCTTAGAAAGGAGCAAATTCAAAGCTGGCCTCATTCCAAAATTATGCAAAAGACACCAATACTTCAGGAGAGCAGAAACTCTTTACAGCACTAGGACTGGGAAGAGGTGACTAAAGTAAAGACAAAATTGAAAACCTATACCGGGAACATCTCTTCTAGGTCAAAAAGACATTTTTCCCTCATCGAAACTGCAAGGTTTTGAATCCGACCCCGAGACCCGTCCTTGTCTACTCCTGAAAAAAGGATCTTGGCTTGAAACTGTCCCAGTGTTCAGACCAACCCAGCAGCAAGAGAAAGGGCGACTGGGGTGCCCACTGATGGGAGGAGCCCCGGAGCCCAGCCCTGGAGGCCTCAAGGGTTCAGGGGCCCACTCAGATTGTGCCGCAGAGCAAGAGAGGAACTGGGGTGAGCAAGCATTGTGGCTTTGTCTGTTTCCTGTTTCGGCAAGGTTTCTGTGCAAAGAGAAACACGGTATCGAGAAGAAAAATGCTAAGGGGGCCCAGAGCCATGGACTGAGAACTTGCACTTTACTCAGCTGCTGTCTTGCCCCACCTGAGACCAGAGCCAAGATCTGCCCGGGAGCTGGAAGGTTTTTCTGAGCTGCTTGGGTTGGAGCCTGGGACCTGAGGTAACTGAAGAGGAGGATGTTTCTGTGCTCAGGTTAGGGTCCTCCAACTCTGGGGTAGAACAGAAGACCCTCCATCACCCCAGCTTGCCTGGGCTGAAGGGGGAGATGCAGGAGCAGATGGTATAATTTAAGAGCATTGGGTGTTGGGTAACCAAGACAGCACCCTGCGTTGGTTTCCAGAGCCACTGGCCACAGCACAGCGGTACAGCTTCCATTGCTCCTCCCCTCCATCCATTAGATTGAATTAGGAGTGAGTCAACTGGCAGGGTTTGGGCTGCCAAGTGTCAGGGACCTAAACTAAATGAACTTTTACAGCTCCCACCAAAGCAGGGATCCCCCTAACAAAAAGCGGTCTTTCCAGCAGCTTAGGTGTAGGCCCTTCTCTCCTCAGAGCACATCGTGCTCTGGGCTCGTAGGCCAACCCATGTAGGGAGCCATTCTCTGCACACACAGGCAGGAAATGGGAGCAGCGGCTCGGGGTGGCAACGACAAACCACTGTCAGGTGAGGGGCAGCACCCTCATGTCTTCCTCTGGCAGTAAGGAGAGCTGTCCCCAGCCAGTCCCACGGCTCTCCGGAGTCCAACCGCGCCCTGTCATGCCGCCAAGGGACACCCCACAGATGCCAGAAAGTCCGGACAGTGGCCCAGTGACCTTTCTTTGAACCACAAGGGGACCAATTCCTTTTTCTTCACCAGCCTGTCCCTGTCAGTCAGCCTCCCACATGGCTTCTTGTGTGCAAGCAAATCAGAAAGTCAACATGTCCCCGAAAGCGGGGTATGATTCCACTACCGGGTGTCAGGGCCTTGGAGCCGGGGACTGCTCCCTTCTCTAAGGAGCCATTTCTCCTGCATCTGCCTGTTTGGGTAACAAGCTCCACCACGTGTCCCTTGGGAAGCAGCGCAGGGCAGCATGCGTTTCAGCGGACTGGTGTGCACAGCCTAGGAGAGCCAAGAGAGCCCTCTTCCCAGACCCCATCTCCTCCCCACAGCCCTTTCCTCATCACAGCAGAAAGGTAGCGGATTCTCCATAACCAGGGACCCGCCTCCTCTGCATAGCCTGTAGGTTACCTGGAGCCAAGCAGGGTGGGGACCTCGCATCCCCCGTTAAATGGTGGAACACAGGCAGGCTGGTCACCGGTTCTTCACCCCCATCTCTTCTTTGCCTTTCTGCCCTACCTAAGTGAGAAGGTGGTTGTGTCCAGACCAGAGAGGAGTTCTTTCTTCTTCTGGCCCAAACCCAGAGGTCAGATGAAGCAGAGTAGTAAATAGGATTACCTCCGGGACCAGCATGCCCTCCGTGAGATAAACAGTAGCTTCAAAGAGAAGAGGGGGGTAGGGACTGGAGGATGGGGCATGCTTGGTCCTGGGAGCTCCAGGTGAGCGTGGGGCCTTTGCCTCCGAGCACTGCATCTTCCGTAGCCAAGATCAACGGGACAGGGATAATAATCATCATAGCTTATGTTTATTATTATTATTATTATAAAAATCTAACATTTATTGTATGCTGTGTGCCAGATGCTTGATGTGCATTTTTTCTTTAATCCTCATAACCTCATGTGATAGGTTCCCATTTTATAAATGAAGAGACTGACGATTAGAGATGTTTAATCATTTGTTCAAAAGCACGCAGGCAGTTGGTGACAGAGCCAGGACATGAAGCCACAGTCTGAGCCTGGAGCCAGCCTCCCCATCCGCAGCAGAAGAGCCAGGGGCCATAGCACAAGATGCCACAGCATAGACCCTGGACATGGAGGTCGCCTGCACATAATCCCAGTCTCCTCCATGGGGTCATTGACAACTTCACATGAACGGGCCTCTTGGATCCTTATCTAAGTTTTTAAATAAAGAAAGTTGCAGGTGGGAAGTCAGGGGATCTCTACAGAGTAGGGAGGAAAACCTAAAGAAAGGTGAGAGCCAGCCAGGGACGGGATGAGGGAACAAGCGTGACAGCAACCTCACAGCTCAGCCTGCGGTCAGCTCTGCCAAAGACCAGGTTGTGCCCCATCCAAGACTCAGGCAATCGGGAGGGCACAGAGCTTAACCACGTAAGACCCCTCTCGGGGAGTAAGACCACCCCAACCACGACCCCAGGGAATGAGTAGTATGATCAGAGAGAGAGCAAGAGTCTTGCAAAGAATTCCAGACTGTGCCACATGGGCGGCAAAGTTCCACTGAAGGGGCAGAGAGGCTTCTGCCTTTTGAGTCTGTTTGGCCTGCAAATAAACCCAACGGGCCAGAGCTGGCAAAGACCTGCTGTTGGTGAAGTCGGGGTATCCTTCTCTGACTTACCCAGGAACTAAGCTTCCCAGGGTGGTGGGTAGTAAGGTTGTGGGACCAAGAAGAGAAGTGGCAGCTGTCAGTGAGAGTCCCTCTTCCTTCCTGTGATCAGTAGAAGCAGGGCACAGAATTTCTAGTGCTCAGGATTCAGCTCAGCCAAGCTATCAGAAGGTCCTGGAGAATAAGCCAATTTGCAGAAGGTAGGTGAGGGAGAGGAGGAGAGAGAGAAGAGGCATAGAAGAAAGAAGGATTTGGGGGTTATATGAGCAGCAGGTAAGGCCACATAAAGGGCCTGCAAAGTTTGGCCCCTACATGAAGGCCTGGGGACTTGGGGTTACTGGTTTTGTTTGTTTAATTTTTTATTTTCATTTTTGTTTGTAATGGCCTTAATGAGGTATAATCTGTATGGTTGTTGGTTTTTATGGCACAAATGTGTGTCTGGGCTAAGGAGAGCAGACTTGGTACCATACTTAGCTCTGACAGGAAGGTGATCCCCCAAAAAACAGAACTTTCAGCTCAGAGAATCATTGAGCCGCACGCTATGAGACAGGTTTCAGCAGCCCTGGGCCAGTGGCGGGTGCCTGACCAATGCTGATTTGAGATGCTCTGCACTGACAGAGCCTGGGCCTGGGCTGGGCTGGGCTGGGGTGCCCGTGGACCACCGTCAGAACATCATGATTGGATGGATTAGGGTGGGCTTTCCCTCCCGATCCACGCCCAGGACCAAGCTCACAAGCTAGTTGCTAAGAAGAAAGCAGTGGATGCCAGTCTCAGGATTGGCCACACCTTGGAGGGGTCTGGCTATCCCTCCAGGCCTTGAGAAGAGTCACTCACTCATTCTATTAACAACTTGGGCCAAGACAGCAGTATAAATGCTGGCTTTTCCTTTAGATTTGGGAACAGGGAGCCAAAATAACTGGTCCTCTAGAAGTTCCTGGGAAATTAACACATCCCTGTCACCCAACAGGTTACAAGTTCATGCTTATTTTTATCAATTACCTCTCATGATCCCCGGACGTAGGGGCAGGGTGAGATGTTTGGTCAATGAAGAAGTGGCCTCCAGAAAGCCTTTCCACTTTGCGGAGGAAGAGACAAAAGCCAGAGAAAAGCAGAAATTAGCATGCAGACTGGACCCCGGAGTCCTGACTCTCAGTTTGACATCATCACCTCCTCACTTTTCAACCCACATGTATGTGCTATTTCTGCCCCCTTGTCCAGGGAGATAGTCATTTTTCTGCCCATCTCCTGACTCTCCCTTTCCCCTCCCTCTTGGCATCTGACAGACCCTAGCAGCTATTCCAGGAACTGGAAGCCAAGCACAACAGGTGTTCAGAAGTTCATCATGATCAGCCTGGACCCCAGGCCTTCCCCTGGCTTGGCCCGCTGGGCTGAGAGCTATGAGGCCAAATGCGAGCGCCGGCAGGAGACCCGCGAAAGCCGCCGCCGCCGCCCCAACATGACCACTTGCCGCCAGTCCCAGTCGGGGAAGGCGCTAAGAACCCAGCAGAGGGAGGAGCTCCGGAGAGCCCGGCATCAGCAGTTCTTCAGGAGAAGGAACCTGGAGGTGGAAGAGGAAGACAAACCGCACAGCCCCTCGACCAGGGAGCAGGGCCCCTCCAGGAGGACGGGCCAGGTGACTGACCTCAGGAAGCCCTCGACCTGTGTGAACAGGATCTCTTCCCCGAGACAGCAGGTGAGCCATGTCCAGAGACGCCCAGCTCTGTTAGGGAATGGGGGGGGGGGGGGGGGCTCAAGGTCACTGAAAAGTGATTTCAGTTGAATCCCTTCTTCCTCAGTCATATAGTAAAGTCTCCCTTAGCCACTTACTCATTCAGGGGTTTTTGTTGTGTTTTCTGTATGTCTATTTGGCTCTTCTTTTTTTTCTTTTTTTCTTTTTTTTTTTTTTTTGCACTTATAGGAGAGAAGAAATAATTTTAAAAAACAACCCCATAGCTTATTCCTAGTATCAGTTCAAATTTAGGCAGTCTGCATATCTTCTGCAGCATTCCTGCATCCATCATTCAATGAGTATTTATTGAATGATGATTGTATGCCAGGTACAGGGGCCAATTTCCTTGATGCCCCATTTGAAACACACACACACACACACACACACACACACACACCCTCTATTGTTCTGTGAGCTGTGGCACCCACCCACCTTCCTTCTCTTGGGCCATTCCAATGGGACTAAATTTACTCAGCCACAGCCTCATCTAATCCAGGGAGCCTTCCCGAGCTTCTCCAGACCACATCTGCTCTCTTTGGTCCTTATGAGGTTACTAATCCTCTAAGATTAAGTAATGAGTTGAGAGCCCACTAGTCTGGCCTGGGAGGAAGCTGTGTTAGCAAAGGAAACAGGGTACATCAAAACAACCTCGGCCAGCAAACTGCGTCTTCCTAGCCCTGCCGTGAGCCCGCTGACAGCAGGGACGGGTCTACTGTATTCCCTGGAAATGCCTGGCCTTGTGCTCCACCTAAAGTGGGCAGTTCACCAGCGCTTCTGGACTAGTGGGTCTATTGTCCACAATAGGAGGCGCTGTTCAGAAAATGATCCTTGAGCCCAACTGTAAAATAAAAACAACTGTGCACTTTCTAAGGCAAGAAGGTTTCTGGATACTTTGGTGGAAAAAAAAAATTTGGGAGAAAAATATCGGGAAACAATTAACTAAAGAATTCCACTGAGCTTATCAGTTATCTAAAGTTTTATTGAGATTGAGTCAGTCTGCATGATTAAATACCAAAGGCATTTCTTAGCCTTTGAGTGTTATGTTACAAGCATAGAATTTTTGAATGTGTAAGAAGAAAATATAAAAAGAGCAGACTGAATTGTAACAACTACTACACCCCTTTCTATAACTCTCTAGTTTACCTTCTCTTCACACACACCTCAGCGATAGTCCAGCTATTACTAAGAGGAAGAAAGCCATCTCTAGGATGTGCAAGGACCTTAGAGTTCATTTACCCCAAACTCATCACACAGACAGGAGACCAAGGCGTGGAAAAGGCAGGCTCTAATCCCAGATCCCCTCGCTCCCCCCTCAGACCGGTTCTCCTTCAGTATCACCACGCTGGCTGTGTCAGTGGCTGAGGCCAAACAGGGTAGATCAGGACTCTGGAGAGTGTAATCGGAGTCAGCTCCTTATTTCCTGGCCTGAGAAGGACCATCCCTGCCAGCCAGGACAAGTGAGGGCAAGAGCAAATAACCTTGTAGCTTTGAAGTCTTGAAGGGGTTACTTTGGTTTTCAGGGTCTGAAATTTGATCACTGGCTCATCTTTCTGCAATCAGCTGGAGAATCCTGTTCTAGTGACTCTAGACTTCCAGCATCTCTTACTTGCTTTCCAGGTGTCAGGGACCAGCTGTGGGGTCTCTTCAAACCAACACCAACCTCTCCCAGGCATCTGTAGGGATCAAGCTGATCACCTCCCCTCCCAGGCTGGGGACCTTCCGCCACAGGATTTTCCTGTCAAGAAGCCACCCAAACACCACCACCGTGGTAAGAGCAGAACCTCCCTCCCCCCTCACTGGGACCAGCACAGAATCCTGCCACATCAGTGCCAGCTCATTGGCAGTGGAGAGTCCCTGTCCCTCCCCACTTCCCCCACTTCTTCCCCCCTCGTTCTGAATCACCTTATCCTGCATCTCTCAGGCACTCAGACAAAGGCAAAAGAAGCACAGCCAACAATCAAGAATGATGCCAGTCAGCAAACCAAGTGAGTGCTTTTCCTGTTCCTGACCCCAGCTCCCTCACGCCCCATCCATTCCTCTCTGCTAAGCTTTTACTTGAATACCCTCACCCAGGATGTAAAGAGGGAACCCAGTGAATGTCCATATCCACCTTAATTTAAAAAGAGGAAGATTTTCCCCACCCTACTGGCTTTTCAGAAGACAATAGAGATGGAATCAACCCCTTGCCTCCTGATGTGCTGGTTTCTTTGCTCCATGGTCATTTTTTGTTTTTATTTCTTCTCTTCCCAGTTATGGAGTTGCAGTTCTAGATAAGGTAAGAAAATCCTTACCTTGGAGGGGGTGGATTAGATGGTATATAAGCTCCTCCAAACTCTGATATTCTGGAATTTCGTGATAAACTCAGCTAGAGTGGGGGTGGGGCACCGTCTCCCTGGATGAGCATAGATCTGAGGGGCCGGGGGGACTCTGTCTGAACCAAGGAAGAAAGTTTACTCTACACAAGTCACCCCTGGCTCTGGTTCCACGTTCCAGGCCTTCAGGAGAACTGGAGTCTTCTTGACTACTTTTCTCTTTCTCTCTAGGAAATCATGCAGCTTTCTGAGTACCTCAAAGTAAGTAACAGGTGCCTGCTCCCCTCAGCTCCGTCATTCATCTACTCCCTCCTCCTCTAGGTTAATCTTACCCTCTTGCATTTTGCCCCCCAGGAGGCCCTACAAAGGGAGCTGGTGCTAAAACAGAAAATGGTGATTCTCCAAGACCTGTTGTCTACCCTGGTTCGGGCTTCTGATAGTTCTTGGAAGGTAAGGGAAATGAAACCTTTGTTTGAACAGAGCTCACGGGCATCTAAGTTTGGCCATCTCATTCTTCTCTCCATACCCTCCCAGCAAGAGAAGGGCTTGTTTGCTGTTTTCTCACTGCTGAGGAAGCAGGAGGTAGGGAATGATCCCAAGACCTAGAAGTCAAACGGTAAAGACCTAGAGGCCACAGTGAATGCGTGGGACAGCTCCGCTAAATCCCGGGTCGTCGATGGAGGGCTCTGTTGCTACATACCCAGGGAAGACCCAGAACCCAAAGGGGCAAGAATCCCCAATTTTTAATTTGTTAGAAGATAAGAAAGAAGATCCTGGCACAGTTAATATTACTAACTCTGGCAAATGTCAGTTGTTTTTGTATGGGATTCACACCAATATGAACTCGAAGCCATCCTGCCCCTACTACTCAGCCCAGACATGAATCAGAGTGGGAAAGAACCTCAGAGATGCTTTGGCCTAATTTTCTCATGATGCCCATGAGGAAACTGAGTGCCAGAGATGTCAAGTGACTTACCCGAAGGCACGCTGCTGGTCAGAGGCCGAACTGGAACTAAAATTCAGACCTCCTGATTTTAGTCCATGTAGTCAATAAATATTCATAGATCATGTTCTCTCTACTGAGCACTGGAAATAATGAGATTAATTAGAGTTCCCACTTTTAGAGAGCTTGTGGTTTTGTCAGGGAGACAAGACGCCTAAACAATGCAGAGATAGGAGAAATAAATATTTTCAGGATATAACTGTATACAAGAAAGAATGAATAATTCTAGAGAAGAGGAGAACCAAGTAAATATGTATAGCTATACAAGTACTTTCCAGGGAAATGTGGAAGAAGGAACTGTATTCCAGACAGGGGATATAGCACAGTCAGAGACCAAAAGTCATGCTGGAGTCTAGTGAAATGAGTTGCCAGCTTTTTAATCTCAGGAGCCCTTTATACTCTTTAAAAAAATTATTGAAATCCCCTCAGTTTTTTTATATTTGCCACGTTAGAATTTATCATATTAGGAACTAAAAGAGGAACCTTAAAATATATATTAATTTTAAAAAATAGTAAATCTATTACATGTTAACCTAACTTTTATATTTTTATGAAAACTAAGGATATTTTTAAAAATCAGTGAGAGGGATAATATTGCTTTAAACTTTGATTTTTTTGATTATGCTGTCACAGTTGTCCCCATTTTCCCCCTTGGTCCCCCTCCACACAGCACCCCCTTCCCTCCAGCCATCTCCCCCCTTAGTTCATGTCCACAGGTTGTACATATAAATTCTTTGGCTTCTCTATTTCCTATACTATTCTTAACATCCCCCTGTCTATTTGGTACCTGCCAATATTGCTTCTTAACCCCTGCAGTTTTCTCCCTATTCTTCCCCTTCCTCCTCCCAGCTGATAAACCTCCAAATGATCTTCATACCTGTTATCCTGTTTCTATGCTTGCTGTTTGCTGAGTTTGTTTGTTTAGATTCCGTTGTTGATAGTTGTGAACGTGTTGCCTTGTTAATGTTAATAGTTTAGACCTTCTTTTTCTTACATAAGTCCCTTTAACATTTCATGTAATAAGGGCTTGGTGACAATGGACTCCTTTAGCTTTACCTTGTCTGGGAAGCACTTTATCTGCCCTTCCATTCTAAGTGGTAGCTTTGCTGAATGGAGTACTCTAGGTTGTAGGTCCTTGCTTTTCATGACTTTGAACACTTCTTGCCAGTCCCTTCTTGCCTGTAAAGTTTCCTTTGAGAAATCAGCTGATAGTCTTACAGGAACTCCTTTGTAGGTAACTCTCTGCTTTTCTCTTGCTGCTTTTAAGATTCTCTCTTTATCTTTTACCTTTGGCCTTTTAATTATGATGTGTTTTGGTGTGATCCTTCTTGGGTCCAACTTGTTTGATATTCTCTCTGCTTCCTGGACTTGCATGTCTTTTACCTTTGCCAAATTAGGGAAGTTTTCTTTCATTATTTTTTCAAATAAGTTTTCAATTTCCTGCACTTATTTCTCCTCTTCTCCTTCTGGCATCCCTGTGATTCAGATGTTGGCTCCTTTGGAGATGTTCCAGAGTCATATTATGCTCTCCTCATTTTTTTGAATTCTTGTTTCTTCTTCCTGTTCTGGTTGAATGTTTATTTCTTTCCTATGTTCCGAATCATTTATTTGAATCCCAGCTTCTTTCCCTTCACTGTTTGGTTCCTTGTAGATTTTTCTTTATTTCACTTAGTGCAACTTTCATTTCTTCCTTTATGTTGTTGCCATGCTCAGTGAGTTCTTTGAGCATCCTGATCACCAATGTTTTGAACTCTGCATCTAACAGGTTGTTTATCTCTGTTTCATTTGGTTCTTTTTCTGGGGTTTTGTTCTGTTCTTTCACTTGGGCCATATTTCTGTCTCCCCTCAATTTGGCAGCCTCTCTGTGTTTGTTCCTGTGTACTAGGTAGAGCTGCTTTGACTTCCTGTAAAAAGCACCTGTAAATTGTGTGGGACAGAGGCTTAGGTAATTGCCAAGGTGGGACAATCTGCTGCATTGCTTTGTGACTGTGTGGCGGGAGGACTCAGAGAGGGGACTGTGATGCTGCCTGGCTTCAGGGGGATTTCCCGGCACTTGCCGCATTTCCAGTCAGTTCACCCACTCCCGATATGTGACTGATGCTCTTCTGGATGTTGCCTTGGTGTTGAATTCCACCCTGGGTGGGTTTGTGTAGGTTTTAAGACCATGTGGGCCCTTTAAGAAAAGTTTCCTGAAAATCTGGCAGTTTCTTCCACCACCCCAAACCCCACTGGTTTTTACAGTCAGAAGTTATGGGGATTTATCTTCCTGGTGCTGGAGTCCTGGGCTCTGACGTCTGGCCTGGGGCTGGGATCACTCATTCCCAAGGTATCCCTCCTGCTTTTTATCCACCACACCTGAATGTGGGGCCATGCCATGCCCATTCTGCCACCGCGGCCACCTTTCCGTGCCACACCGCATCTCCTCGCCTCTCCACCCCATCTCTGAGTCTCCGCCCCTCCTACCCTTCTGGATGAATGCGGCTTCTTTAAATCCTTGGTTGTTGGACTTCCATACAGTTCAGTTTGTGACAGTTCTAGTGTTATTTGTTTTGAGATTTAGTTGCAATTCCTTTTTGTGGCTGGTTGCACGAGGAGGCGAAGTGTGTGTACCTATGCCTCCATCTTGACCAGAAGACTCACATTGCTTTAAACTTTTGCAAACCTTTTTAATGTCTGGCTGAACAGAAGACAGCTATATTCTCATATTTGCTTCTCCGCATTCAATCTGTTGCAATATATTATTTTGGTTGAAGTATATGATGAAAATCTGTCCACAAACAGATCTGTGGTTGGAAGAGGGAAGATCTTCTTTGAAAGGGCCACAGGAATTCCCAGGGCTCCTCAGACCCCGCATTGAAACCCCTAGACTAGTGTGTTTAGGGAGCTACAAGCAGTTTGATACCATCAGAGCATGAAGCACCAGGTGCAAAGAGAGAACACACACCCTCATGGGCCTCTGTGAACATCTAACCTACCATGTAGATGACATGTACTTAGACAGAGAGAGGAAGTGGGAGGGCATGGAACCAAACTGAGCCATTTGCAGTGATGTAAAAAAGATTTTCTAAGCTCAGCCCTCTCTCTTCACATCCATCTTTGTACCTGGGTTTAGGTGTCTATGTTTAGGACTACTGAGTGTTAAGGAAGACATTTTCATCAGCAGGGTTGGAGCCTGGAGCAGACAACTGTGCATGCCAGGTTGTTTCCAGTGCTGAACTAAATTGAAATCATCTCACCCATTTATTCAACAGACATTTGAAAAGTTCCAACTATGGGCTGGGCCCCGTGCTAGAGGGGAAAATGAGGAACAGGGTCTTTGCTGCCAAGAAGCTCACTCTCCAGCAGGGAAGGGAGGGACATGTAATAAAGAACTCTAATACAATGTGATAAAGCTATAACAGTAGTGTCCACAAAGTGACACAACAAAAAGAGAAGAGAGTAGTTATCATGACTGAGGTGGAATAGGGTAGGTTCTAAAGGACAGGGACCATTTTAGCTGGGTCCTGAAGGATGAGTAGGAGTTTACCAGTATAGAAGTGGGAATGATGCTGGGGAAGAGAAAACAAAAAGAGAAAGAAATCAGAATGATTATAGGCCTAGGTATGACAAAGCATTCGGTGTAGCAGAGTGTGGCTGAAATGAAAAGATCATGTCAGAATACTTCAAATATAAGATCAGAAATGACCTCAGACAGGCCTCTAGAATTATGAGGTTTAAACTTTTTCTGTTGAACATACCATCTCAAGCTTAAACAAGGTATGGACTCTACTTTAGAGAGAAAACACAGATATTTCAGATCCGTGAGACTGAGTGCTGTCCCCAGTTTGGGAAACGTTGCTATAGACAATAAGTAGGGTAGCAGTGGAACTACGCTTTATTCAGGTTTAAAGTCCTACGGTGTCTGGTCCATCCTTCGAAGGTGCTCAGTTAGAGCAATGAGATCTGTGTTTTGAAAGGTGAGGACCCTGGCTCCTGGTGGGCGTGGGGGTGGTGAGCAGTCTTATGATATCCCAGGTAGGACACAATCAGCACTTGAGTGATGGCAAGATGGGTGGGAAAGGGGGTGGGGGGAGACATTAGGAGACATTTTTGATGTAGACTCTGAGGGGCAGTTTCATTCTACACTCCAGCAGGCTGCGGTTTTCTCCCTCCCTTCTTCCCATCCCTCCCACTACTCACCCTCCCCTTCTTCCTCCTCCCCACCAACCCCAAAGCTTCCTGTTTTTAAGAAAAATGGTCTCAGATTTTTCAATTAAGACTTTCCAGTTACTTTACCCCAAAAACAAGACCATTCAACCTTCTACCTCTTCCATGGAAGCCTCAAATTCAATGACAGGATAGCCCCAGTCTGTAGTATTTGAGAAAAACAATTGGGAGGATGTGGCCCAGTTCAAGCCTTTATTTTTCCCATCTGGCTTCTGGTGATTTGAATCTTCAGCTTCAAATGCAAAGGAGCTCACAGCAAGCTCTGTTAGAACCCCAAGGATCAGCTGCCTCCATTGCCTCCAGCCTCCAAGTGGACTCCGGGCCTTCTGGATGCAATAGGCCCTGAGGCACTACCAGAGTCCTAAAGAGGGTACAACCTTCCGGGCAGAAACAGTTCAGGGAGGAAAGAAAGCAAGCTCTCAGTATTGAGCAATGCAAAAACAGAAGGGGGCACAAATGGGTTTTTAAGTTCCGCAAAGTAGAAATGAGATCTTGAGATGACAGTGCAGAAGGGGATTGGCTGCAAGTCCTAAGCCACCTCTGCTAGAGCAGAGAGAAGCTGGGGCTAGCACTTCTGCGGTGAGGTGCTAGTGTTTCTGAAGAACAGAGGCAAGGGAAAGCCAAGCAGAAGCAGGAGCTGAAGCCCTCAGACCGGCACCAGGTGTGTATGGCCTCCACCTTGCTCCTTCTTCCAAATGGGGGTACTGTGCTCCCTGAGCCTTGGGCTCCAGGAGTGTGATTGCCCAAAAAATGTCCGCAGGCCTGTAAGAAGTGCTTCTCCCCACATACTATACCACTGGGCTTCATGTGGGGCGAGCTGGGACTCAGACCAGGAAACTACATGCCCCATTTGCAACAACTTGACTGCAATTTTCCTGACTACCTTGGGGAGTCTGGGAAGGCAGAGCTGTAGACAAGAGATTTTTTAAACCCCAGACTTGGGTGGCCTTTTCCCCCCTGCAGGAGCTATCATGAATTGTACTGTATTGCAAGATGAATGAAAAGTAATCTGGGGTACAGCTAAAATACAAAAACAGAAGATGTAAACTATGGAGTTAAAACCATAGTGAGAAAGAAGAGAGGAGCCACCAGAAAAAAGGGTAGAAGACTGGGGAAAATGTAAGAATGTTGCTTTGGGCTGGTCTGTTTTCTTTTCAAACTATAGCAAGGCAAACCTTAAACTCAGTGGGTCTGATTGCAATCTGCATAGTGAGAGTTCAGGCAAGAGAAAATGCGCCGAGTTGGAAGATCTGAAGCACAAGAGCGGGTGTGGAGGGAGTGAAGTTCAGCTCATTGACAACGGACAGGCCACTGGGGGAATGCAGCCCTGTAACCAGTTATTCCAAAGCCCAGGACAGTGCAAGTCTTTGTCCACCATTTTTATCTGTCCCAAAGCCCTGTGGTTATTGTACGTGCGAAATCCCTGACTCTCAGCCCTCACAGGAGACATTATGAAAAACATTAATAGCAGGAGACACTTTGAAAAAATTATTTTTGGCAAAGCCTTTTGCTTTTGCAAGGCCCAGCTGAGTAATACAGGAAGCAGAAAGGGTGGGGGCACCTCTTGGCCCCCCCCTGGTTAGAAGAATCAGCCAAACAAGAGCAAAACAGGGGCTGTGAGTTACCACTTCCTGCCTACCCCAGGTGCCCTGGAACTCACTGAGGGAGTCAAACCTCAAAACAGAGTCCCCTCCTCTGCCCCCAGGTGATTATAGACTGGAAAGCATGATGAGGGTTGGAAATGCGCCTGACTGAGAGGAGCCCTGGCGCCTCAGGCCTGAGGAGAAACGTAATTTCCAGACCTCACAAGTGTCCCACAGGGCCTGGTTGGAAAAAGCCAGAGAAAGGATATGAAAATCAGTTACTCCTAAAGGGATCCACAGCCGTTTCCTCAGGCAACTTGTTCTCGGCAGCACGCTCCCCTCTCCCCGATCTGCTCCTATACACAACCTTAAATCAAACTCAAGGTTAGAAGAACAAAACCCCTCCCTGGGGGAAAGGGACAAGTCTACGTGTGGAGGGAAGAACAAGGCGGCAAGGAAGTTGTTAGCTACTCAGCTGAAATACTGAAAATCTAATCTCACCCCTGAGATTAGCATCCCTCTTGCAATGTCCAAAATGCCATTAGGCAAACCCAGTTTATGAATAAATAGAATGTGGCTCTCTGGAAAGCCCTCTTACTATCCCTCTCCTCCCTCGCCACCCACCACACACACCCTGCGCTACTATCTCTCTTCCATTTCTTGCTGTCTTAAAGAATTCCTCATTTTGAATTGGGGGGTGGGCCAGGGAGGGGAGTGTATTAGTTCATTATGGCTACAATAACAAATCACCAAAGACCGAGTGGCTCAACCAACAGAAATATATTTTCTCTCATTTCTGAAGGCTAAAAGTCTGATATAAAGGTGATGAAAGGGTTGGGGTTTTTTCCTAAGGCATCGCTCCTTGGCTTGGAGATGGCTGGCTTCCTTCCGGTGTTCTGATGTCCTAATCTCCTCTCCTTCTGAGAACCCCAGTCATATTAGAATAGGGTCCACCCTAATTGCCTCATTTTAACTTAATTGCCTCTTTAAAGATCCTATCTCCAAATACAGGCACATTCTGAGGTACAGGGGTTAGGATGTCAAGATGTGAATGGGGGGAAGGGGACCAAAATTCAGCATGTAACAGAGGGGAAGGGAGAGAATGTATATTCCCCCTGGGAGAGGAGACCCCTTTAATCTTATTGGCCTGTACTTTAGAAGCAAAGGTCCTTGTACATGACTGGAAAAAGGTGAGGCATGCAGAAGTGTCCAGACAGAGAGAGAGAACTAATGAGAGAAGAAAAGGACAGCTTAGGAGCTTTCCTCCAGGTGGACCCTTGGTAGTGGTACCAGAGAAATCCTGGTTCTTTTCACCAACGCAATAAAGAATGACAGATCAGCGAGCCTATTAGCATGCATGCAAAGTTTATTAATGCTAAGTTTTAATGGGAGAGCAAAAGCAAGGTGGCAAGAGTAGGGTGGGCGGAAGCCAGGTAGGCAGCACCCACGTGGCCACAGCCCAGGTGGCCAGAGGACTAGGTGGCCAAAACGGGGTGGCCAGGAGCCTGGTGGCCAGGGGCCCCCATATGGCAAGAGAGCCATGAGCCAAGAGAAGAAAAAGAGTCCTTTGTTCTAAGGGCTTATATATTGGCAGGATAGGGGTGAGAGAGTACATTTTGATTGGCGGGTAAAGATGGTACCAGTTTTCCATGGGGACATGGCTGCCTCAACATAGGCATGGGTGGGGGCCTCTTAGCCTCAATCCTTATCTTGCTCATTTTGTATGTGACAGGAGGCAGGCAGTTAACCAAAGTTGTTTATGGGCTTTTTCTCTTGGGCACTATAGTTCCCCTCCTCTTCCCCCTTCTAGGCCTTGGGATGAATGTGTGGTCTCAAGGTTTTCCTTTTCCCAGCTAGTAGAGATGATACACACAGACTTTCAAGGGCTCCCCGCCCCACACACTGTGTAGTTTCACTTTGTTGTTCGGGATGCCTGGCAGCCTTATCGGACCAGGCTCAGGGTTACTGGGTCATCATGGGAGCTTTTGCTTTTAGCCTCCTGTATTAAGTTCTTTGTTCAGTTGTAATGGTGAGGGCCCTGCCTTTATTTCCGCTTTGGCCACTAATTCCTAGCTGCCACCTAAGTGTTAAAAGGTGTTGCCTGGCAACCAGGATGCTATAGTCGCTGGCTAGCAACAGAAGAGCAGTCAGAGTTCTTCCTATGCTGTCTCGTGTAACAGCAGGATACTCTGGGCCATTTAATAGAGAACCTCAAGGTACAAAGAGGACTTTGGGGTTCAGTCTGATTCTTCTTTCTCCTATTCCAGAAAAAGAGGAAAAGATCCTCTTCTACCCAAACATCCTTTGTCATTTTTTCTCCTCCCTATCTCTTGAAAGACAAACATTGAGCACAGACTATATTGTAGGTGGTAAACTGAGAATACAGAACAAAACATTTTGCACACTATATTTTGGCCCAAACTCTATTTACTCATCCCATTTGTTCCAGGGACAACTTAATGAAGACAAATTGAAGGGCAAACTGAGATCCTTGGAAAACCAGCTGTACGCCTGTACCCAGGTAAGCATTCTGGAGAACACTTCCAGCCCAGGAATCTAGAATTAAAGGAGAATGCTGGAACCTCTATCTTACTCTCTAAAGATACTACCTGACAGAGATTAAGGCATCCACTCCCATCCTCCCACTTCTGGCTTTGCCATTTTCATTTTGATCCCTGATTCACCACGTGTTCATGCTCTACGTCCATCCTCCTCTCTCCTTCTCCCAGTGCCCTTCCCTCCACACCCTGGGAAGGAATTGCAGCACCAGGCACTTTGCTGGCTCCAGGGAAGCCTTGAGAATACCTGAAACTGTAGGGAGGAGCCTTTGGCAAAGATTCATATCACACAGATATACCTGCACAGGTCCCAGTCTTCAAACAGATGGGTTGAATGTTATCATGAAATTTTGCAAAGTTACTTTCATTCAGTGGACAGATTTTATCTCTTAGCAACTGAGGGAGAAAGTAAGAATGGGACTCTTGGCTTCCCTGTGACAAAAGTATCCAGCTTCAGTGGTCTCTTGACTGGCCTCATCCTGGATTATGAGAGACAGAGAGAAAACAGCTTTCACTTGAGAAGCGATGCGTTCCTGATGGTTGGGGACATGTCAAATAAAAGAATGAGGTAGAACAGGAAGTCTGCTCCTATCTGTAATAAGGACCAGCCACACAGTTGGAATCTTGCAGGAGAAGGGTTTATAGTCTGTAGATTTGCTGATCCACAACTTCTATTTTTTCAGTATGATCTCCTTTGTCAGACTCTCATGAACTAAATAATGTCAACCAAACTCATAAGAGATGGATATATAATCCAGAATGCCAATGAATTCATTTTTAGTGGATAACAAATCTGGCCAGTGACCAGTACAGTTAAGTCCAATGACTGGGAGGTACCCATGTCTGACTTCAACCAATAATTCCTGGATATGCTTTCTAATAAAAATTCCAAGAACATAAGGCCTATCCTCATTTAATTCAAATTTTCAGATGATTACAAAGCTAAATGGGAATTTCATATTGATCCCTAAATGTGCATTATCTAGGTTACTGCTTACCTAGTGGGCAATTCAGAATGGACAGTAAAAGCTGCCTCTGTTCCCCAGTACACAGGGTATGAAGATGAAAGGCACGGGGAAAGCAAGAGCCCCAGTGAATTTACAAAATTGCTCCTCTTTTTGTTGACCCTGAAGCCAGGAGAAATTTTTAAAAGCACATGTATTAATTTTAAAACATTCATGTACTGGGGATCCCTGAAACTACAAAGGTTATAATAAATAAATAAATAAATTTTTTTTAAAATGTTTAAAGCGTGCTCCCTGCTCCTGCCCTGAGGAGTTTACAGTCTCATAAGTGAGACAGAGAGAGGGGAAAGATAGAGACATAGAGGGGCCACTATGTGAACACTAAGAAAAACTACCTAATCCATAATGAGCTGGGTGTGGGGGTGGTTAATTAAGATCTATCAGAACCTACATGATTCTTGAGCTGAATCTTGAGCATGAGTAGAAGTTAACCAGGTGAAAAGGGTGGGTAAGGATGCTTTAGGAGGCAGAAGCACCTCTAGAGGCAAAGGCAGAGGCCAGAAAATACAGTGCTTAGGGGATCTGCAGGCAGTTCAGCTTGGGCAGAACAAACACAGAATGAAAGTCTGGGCTTATAAATAGAAACCAAGCCAAGGAGTTTGGACCTAATCCTTAGGATGCTGAGAATCTACTGAGATTTAAGCAGGTTGTGACATGATGAGATTTGCATTTTAGAAAGGACCCTGTAGCTATAGAAGTAAAAGAGTTTGAAGGGAGGCAAGTCTTAAAGATAGGGAGGTTATTGCATTGATCCATATAATGGTATTATTAGAGCCTGAAGTAAGGAAGTGGCAGTAGGGATAGAGAGGAAACAAGTGTGAGCTGTAAAGGAGGTTGGCTTGACAAGGGTCGATGACCAACTGAATACAGGGGAAAGTATGAAAGAAATTGAGGTGAGTCCCCAGGTGTGGGCTTGGGAGACCAGGAGGGTGATGATGTTGGTCACTGAGATAAGGGAAGCCCAAGAGAAAGGAGCAGATTTAGAAAGATGATTTCGCTTTGGAAATGTTGGATTTCTAATGCCTGTGGAAGGCCTGGGGGACAATGCCCCGCCTGCCAAGGGCCCTGTTTACTATCCCCACTCACCCTTCACTTCCTGAGGGACTTTCCCTGCCCACCGCTAGCCTGGAAGAAAAGCTCCACCAGATTACTGTGTATCTCTGTCCTGTGCGCCAGGACAAAATTCTTCTCATTTCTGTACCCCAGCTCAGGTTTTGGCACACAGAAGCTCAATGTGTATTTGTTGAATTGCATCAAATTTACAGAAATATTCCCCTTGGGGAATGAAAAAGGTACTGATGGAGATGGAAGACCAGAAAAACAGCTATGAGCAGAAAGCCAAGGAGTCACTGCAGAAAGTGCTGGAGGAGAAAATGAGCGCAGAGCAGCAACTGCAGAGCACACAGGTTTGGAGATGCTGCATGGTACTTGGATCTGGGCACACCAAGGCAGCTCTGGGAGCCGGCTGCGCAACTGCAGGGAACCCCAAAGTATTACCCTCTCTCTTGATCTCCCCCAGCGGTCCCTGGCTCTGGCTGAGCAGAAGTGTGAAGAGTGGAGGAGCCAGTACGAGGCTCTGAAGGAGGATTGGAAGACCCTGGGGACCCAGCACAGAGAGCTGGAGAGCCAATTCCATGTGCTTCAGTCCAAACTGCAGGTACCGGGCCCTGAGGGTGGGGTGGTGGGGAGGGAGGGCAGGGTTTAAGGGAAGAAGGCTTGGTAACGGCAGTGATGGAGAGAAGCTGCTCCCGGGTTGGAGTCCTCAAAGGTGACTGAGAGCATCCGGCTTTTAGTTCCTCACTCACTGCCCACTTTGTACCAGACTCAATGTTTTGGCTCTGAAATCTAATTTGGAGTGAAGTGTAGCAAGGACATCTGCACTGCTCATGCAAATAAACCAAGTATTCACTGGAATGACACAACCCAAATGCAAGGGGCTGAAATAGTCATCAGCCTACTGCCATATCCCAACTCGCCCTCTGCATCCCATCCCAGCAGAGCATCTAGTTCAGAGACTCCCACTACTGGCAGAGAACAAATGTCCTTAATTTACTTATAGACTGAATATTAATTAACACAGCCTGCCCTATCCTTGGCATTCCCAAGGGTTCCTCATTCTCCTCTGCATTTGCCTTGGAGAAGTAAACTAACCTCTGAAGCCTCAGGTTCCTCATCTCTAAAATAAGCATAATAATATCTGTATCATAAGATTGCTATGAGGGTTCAGTGATGTGATCCATGCAAAGCACTTAGCACAATGCCTGGCACATATAAGCCCTCAATGAATGTTAGCCATTATTTTTCCTTACTTGGTTTGGAATTTTGAGGACCTGCCTCAAAAGTTTATCTTTGTAATTTTACTGAAGGAGGAAACGGACTGCTGTTCGTTTGATAAAAGGGTGTCTTATCAAAGGACTGAACCTAGCTGGCCACTGCATTGCCTCCATATCCCAATCACCTACAAGGCAACTCTTATAAAGATCTCTTTCTTTTTAACCTTAATTCTTTGTGAAAATGACACTACCAAAAAAAATTGATAGTGCTAAAATGAAAAGTAAAGATACCTAGAGAAATGATGTTTTGGTATTATTATTTAATTTAATTTGGGCATTTATCCAAATGAGACCCTTGGGAATATCAAAAAAAAAAAACTAATGCATTGTTTGTAGTCACAGGAATAGAGCAAAGCAAAGGGAAGATTTAAAGAAATAATAAATAAAAATAAATAAAAAAACTTCCCTGTTTTTCTATCTCCCTAACGTTCCTACCTCTAAAATTCTACAATGTTCTACAATTTTCTTCTTCCCTGGGATCAGCCCCCACCCTCCACCTGAGCACTGACCTGCTTCTGTGTTGGCCCCTCTTCCCCGCTGCAGGGAGCAGACAGTAGAGACTTGCAGATGAACCAGGCTCTGCGACTTCTGGAGAATGAGCACCAGGAATTGCAGGCCAAGATCGAATGCCTACAGGGGGACAGAGACCTGTGCAGCTCGGACACCCAGCACCTACAAGGTACCCCCCTACTCCTTGGTGGTGTCTGTCTGAACGAGCCCAGAGAAAGGAAACTGGATGGAGAGAAGGGCTTCACTCGGTCTTTCGTTTGTTTGGTTGGCGTGAAGATTTCATTTTACCTTAAGGGAAAGACGGGGCTATTTTAGTCATGCAAGGCTGAAAATTAATTTTGCAGCACTAGAGAATCTTGTGACATCAGCTCTTTTCCAGCCCATGCCTCTCAGTCAGATCACAGCTGCTCCCACCTCAGTCACATGTCAAGGCCTCATTCCTAATTAGAAAGGTCAGTTGAAAGGCTTCCATCACAGCCTGCGCGGTTAGCTGAGAGAAGACCAAACTGTGTGCAAATACAACACTTAATCCAACCCCACTTGTTAATGCAAATCCCATCCAAGGTACTTTGGTCTTGGTTTACCGCTTCAGAACTGGGAAAAGTGGAAGAGCAACTTCCAACTGACACAGAGCAGAGGCCATGGAGAAGGCAATACCTCTTTCGAATTTCCGCCCTCAGGTGTCGATTTCATTAATCTTGGGTTCTTCTATTTCGGTTTGCATTATTTCATTTTTAGATCAGCTAAAGAAGTCAGAGGAGGAGAAGCTCGCCCTGGCGACCAAAGTACAGCAGTTGCACAGTGAGTCCCCGTTCCCATTCTAAAAGTGGCCTTTTGGTGCTCCTGGGCCTCCTGCCCCATGAGAGGCACCCAGAGGAGGGATTGAGGGGACCAGTCTTTAGCATCTCCTCTACTTCCGTGCACTTTCGGATCCTCTTCTTATGAAGTGAGGTCTTATGCATAGCTCTTCACAAGTTAAATATTAACCTGTCCTTTTTTCCCCCTTTTCTACTTCTCTCCTTCCATACTAAGGACTACCACCTGCATCTCCCCCAGAACTGCAGATTTTTTAAAGTGTGAGGTTTTCCAAGGTAGTTCTTATTTCATATATTACTACATACAGGAATATGTCACATTGACCTTTGTCACTAGGGATGGTTCAGATATAAACTCACGCTACATATGCCTCCATCCATTTCAAAACTACATATTGGAACCAAAGAGGAAAAAGGGACCTTTTGTAAGAAAAGTAGACAATTTCTGAGAAGCTGGAGAACCTGATTCAATCAATAGCTCGGCACATTGCTCACCGCCTTAACCTCTGACACCCAGGGAGAAGTTTCATGCACGCAGCAATGAATATTAAAATAGGAAGGCAACCACAGGGGAAAGTGAGAGAACATACCAGCAGAAGCTGTGCTCCTCCATACCAGGCGCTGAGTGGGCAGGAAGTCACTAGAAACTCATGCCTTCATTTATTCAATACATAGTGAGTGAGCCCCTACCAAGGGCCAGGCACTCCAGCTATACAGTGAATACAGTGACGGATGTAACTGACATGGATACTTCCCTCGTGAAGCTTACCTTCTAAGAAAGCTCTACAGTAAAGTATGGAGTTTTTATGAACAAATAAATATGTATCAGGTAGTGTAACTACTATGGAGAAAAATAAAGCAGATCAAGGAAAATACTTGCTATTTTATAAAGGGCCATCTGGGAAAGCCTTTCTTCTAAGGTAAACATTTAAGAAGAGACTTAAAGGTAAAGACAAGGTAGGAGGAAATATATGGATGGTGTATTCATAACACAGTACCACAGACTGGGTGACATCAAGAACCGAAGTTTATTTTCTTACAGTTCTGCAGGCTAGAAGACCAAAATCAAGGTGTCAGCAAGTTTGGCTCCTCCTGAGGGTTTTGAGGGAAGGATCTCTTCCAAGCTACTTTCCTTTGGCTTGTAGATGGCTGTCTTCTTCTTCCTCATGTGTCTCTTCATATGTCTTCCATTTTTGTATGTGTGTGTCCAAATGCCTCTTCTTACAAGAACATCTGTCATGTTCAATTAGGGCCACCCTAATGTCCTATTTTAATGTGATTAACTCTGTAAAATACCTGTCTCCAGAAAGGTGATATTCTGAGGTACTGGGAGTTAGAACTTCAACATATGATTTTGGGGGGGAACACCATTCAACCAGTAACAGATGGGAACATCTTTAATAATTAAGATTCTGAGCTAAGTTCTGAAAAGACACTCTTTGTGGTAAATACGCTAGCACAGACAAGCTTCTTGTGTATTCCAACAGGTCTGCTTCAGAGTCAATCCTTACAGCTTCAAGAACAGGAGAAACTCTTAACAAAGAAAGGTCAGCAAATTTACTTCCACAAATTCTAAGACATTGCTCTTTCCTTGCCTGCCTAGAGGCAGGGGGATGGACTACATGACTTCCTGGAGTTCCATCCAGTTCTGGGAGTCTGTTAGGTCAGGGATCTGGGGACGCTTTTTAAGGACTAATCACTGACTCTGAGAACAACTAGTTAGCCTCCTATTGTGAGACGTACGTAAACGGTGAAAAATGATTTCTCATCCCCCTGAAAATATATATCTGTGTTGAACATTTTAATAAATTGATTTTGAACTCAGGATTTCATGTCAATTTTTACACTTGCCTTTCCAAATCACATCCAACTTCCTAAGTAAACCATGTTGCATACAGGTTACCTCCCTCTCAGCCCTTAGGAGTCTGCTGCCTTAGCTTCCTGAGAAGAATTCATCATGTATGCAGAGAGGCAAACGGTCCTCACTTATCCACTACACATAGCCTTTTGTTTTCTCATCACAATCACTGGGTAAAATACAAGGCAGACATGATTATGCCCACATAGCATGGATAAGAAAATGAAAGCCTATGGTCATACAAATTAAAGACCCAGCTAAGACAACCATTAAGAATTTCTAACTTTTAGTCCAGTGCGCTCTTCACAAGACTAAGGCTGCCAGGTGGCTGAAATACCATCTTTAACCACATGGAGATGAATTCTAGGATATGGCTGCCTTCTCATAACTGAAATGAAGACAGAAGGAAAGGGAGTTTTATGTTGAGGCATCCAGCAAACCTACCAGACTAACTAGAAAGGATGTGGCCAAAAACCAAAGAAATTGGGTTAATAAATGTACCCTAGAAGTATCTAGCCTTAGACAGGACTGATAACAAAGAAAAGTAAGATGCCATCCTTGCCCTCAATGGAGCTCAAATTCCAGCTCACTGTCCAGGCTGAGCAGGGACTCCCAATGGAATTCTTTAAAAGTCAGAGAATTCCATTCCAAGAAGTCTAACCCAAGACAGGCCCTCCCTTTGTCCCTCCCCTCCTTTTCCCTCCTAGGGGTTCTCTCAGTGACAGGGCCCTTCCTCAGAGGTGTGGGCCTCACTATCACTGAGAATGTGGCTGCTTTTTTAGATCAGGCTTTGTCTGTGTGGAGTCCAAAGCCCTCCCATAACGAAGTGGAGCCTGAGGGTACAGGGAAGGAGAAAGACTGGGATTTCAGAGACCAGCTGCAAAAGAAGACTTTGCAGCTCCAGGCCAAGGAAAAGGAGGTGAGACCTGACCTCAGTTAGTGAGGGGCTCAGCCCACAGAGGTAGGGACAACTGCTGGGAGGCAGCTGGAGAGCAGGGATTTCAGCATCTACGCTGACTGGATGCCTGCGGGTATTCATTTGCCTGCAAAAAAATGTCCTTGCTTTAGGGTTAACTTGTCAATCTTTTCCCTTCCTCACTTATACCAATCCTTATTCATTTTATTAGTTATCTTGTACAAAGTCAACCTAATCGCAAACATATTTAATAAACATCAACTCTTCAAACTTTGCCTTACACTATGCTAAAACTTTATATAGTCTTTTAAGTGACAAAATTCTTCACTCTTCCCATCTACAAATTCACAAACACTTATCCTTGGCTACTGACAGAGAGACTTACACTATGATCACTTGCAGGTCTTCCATACTGCTAAGAACTTCATTTTTGGTGTCCCCATTTACAAAGCACTTACTTGTATAACATATAATATGCATTATAATCAATCATGTAAATGAACACATTCTGGACAAGCTAGGTGAGAAAGTCAAAAGGCAAACTGACATCTCTGAGAAAGGCTGGGAAGGGAGGAAGGTGGTACGAATTCCAAATGAGTGAAGGAGTAACTTACACGGGACCCTCTCCCCTACGTGGTGACGACCTTGGTGGTATTCTCCCCTTCAGTGCAAAGAACTGCATTCGGAGTTAGAAAACCTCAGTGACGAGTACCTCTCCTGCCTGCGTAAGCTCCAGCACTGCCGAGATGAGCTGAACCAGAGCCAGAAGCTGCCTCCCAGAGTAAGAGTGTCGATCTCCCCATGTAGCACTAGATGATGGTGGGACTCTCTCTCCTTGATAAAATGTATCAGCGCATGCTAACATCTGAGCCTGCCCCTCCTTTATACTACCAGTAGAGCAACCATGGAAAGAAACACTGACTTATGTACCCAAACTTAATTTTCATGGAACTCTTAAGCCTAAAGGGAAAGACTTAGTAATAGATAAATTACAAAATGGTGTTTTTTAGCCTTTTGAATGTAGTAGCGGCAAGGACAGAATGAGAGAAAGTACCAAAGAATTGGAACAGACAATAATTTAATTTTGTTCAGTTATTTTCCACCTTTGATTGGTCATTTCAGCATTTTGGTACCTGAGCCCTGCTGGCTGTGGTTCCATGGGCCAATGACCCTGGCTTAAGGGCCAGTGACCACCAGTAAAGTGGTTCTATTCCAAGGGAGGTGACAAAGTGACAGACAGTGATGTAAAAACCTTTCCCACCTCCACCAACCAAGATTTTCCACTGGGCCAGAATGGGAAGAAGGAAGATTATTTTTCCTCTATCTTCTCCAACCAACCCGTGGCTTCTTTCTCTTCTCCCCCTCCCTCCTCAGAGGCACCGTGGTCGATGGCTCTCGCTGCTGATGGTGATAATTGCTGTAGCACTGGCGGTATTCCTGGCCAACAAGGACAGCCTAATGATCTGAAAAACTTGTGACAGCTTCCTTGGGTGGAAATCAGAAGTAAAAAACTGAATAAATTTGCAGAAGGTTTTGTTAAAGTGTGGGTTTTCCCAATGCAACTGTGATTTCATTATTTTTTTAACCTACTGTAAAATAAACAAATAAACTGCACCTGACAGTCTCTGTCCCCAGAATTCTGTTTATTCCTGAATGACCTATCACATCACAAAGATAAGACATTTGAGCATCCAAGTCTACTGTTCTCAGTCCAATTCAGGTGGAGGTATATAAATATTCAGTGAAACCCAGTCCTGCTAATTCCTGGTGAACACTACCCACATCGAGGGTAGGTATATTTATAACCCTACCATACCTTACCATGCATAAAGTACAAGGATACGCTACTTGTCCTCCACCTCCCTTATTATTCTCCACAATCTCTTTCCTCCATCTTCTATCCAGTGAAAAAGGAAGACATCTCAGTTAAGTCAAGAGGACTCCCTCGTATAGAAATGGCACATATATACTTCCAATGCTGCCAACGCCTCCACCTGTTCCCATGCCCATCATAGATGTGGCCAACTGACGACAGCATTCTTCCCTAGAGTTCTCAAGATGCTAGGAACTGGCACTTGAGATGATTCCTATTTGCGATCCCTGCCTTAGAGCTGGACATTTACTGAGTACTTTCTACATGACAGTCAGCTAGAGGGCCACAGCTGGCAGTGTGACTGTCTCAGAGGAGACGGTGAGGTTGGCCAAGTCATGCTGAGTCCTACATCGATTTCTAAGGTCCTTTTCCCAAGTGTTTAGAATGTCCCTCAGGGCTGGAAACAAGCTCTCTGGGACACTAAAGGAATAGAGCAAGACTTGGGGTGGACCAAGTAGCCATGAGATCCGGGCAGTGAACACCCGTAGTGGGATCAGGGCTAAGCAGTTGTCATCTCCCTGGTTCAGGTGAAAGGTATAGGGAACAGGATAGCCCAGGAGGATCCCAAACACAGTACAGAGATTCCAGTCTGAGGAACGGAGCCTGCTGCAAGAGACTACCAGGGATAGGTCCCTCTGCAACCCCTGCAAATGGGTGATGATCTCAGCTATGAGGGACTTCAAGCCTTGAAGCTGATCCAGGGAGCGAATAGAAGGCTGAGGTTCAGAGCTGGAAACATCCACGAAGGCTACAGTCCCCTGCAGCACACGCTCCAGGTGCTGACACACGTGCTCGGGTCTGACAATCAGGCTGTTTCCTCCAATCTCAAGGATGTGAAGTCCCTGGGTCAGGAAGCCCAGACGCTGCAGCTCCTCCAGATAGCTCTGGAGCTCTGATGTCCCTGCACCATTGCAATCATAGAGCAGAGCTGGCTTCAGTCCCCGGGCCACAGCCAGTACTTCTCCGGCTAGGTGGAGGCAGACAGATCGGGGTGGGCCCCGTCTCCTTCCCTTTCCCAGGGCCTGCTGAGCAGCTGCCACCAGCAACTGAGGACTCGGTGCTGACATGGGGTCTGGAAGCAACATCAGGCATGGCCTCCTGAACTAGCCACAGTTCCCTCCCCGGGGCCCCATCTCTGAGCCCCGGACACTTGAAGACCCTAAAAACAAAGCAGGACCAGGGAATTATTAACACCAGCCAGTGACATACCAGAACACCTGCCAACAGCCTTCCCCCGAGTGTTACAGCACCTTCCAAAGGTCACTTTGTCCCTCCTTCTGCTTTGGAATGCTAATTCAGCACCGGGCGAGACCGATCGGCAATTCTGCCTGATGTCTATGGTTGATTTCGTCTCCCTCAGTCCCAAATGCATGTGTCTTTATGGCCTTAGGGCTATATTTATATTCTCTCTGGTTTCTAGCCTAAATTGTACCTTTTGTAAATTACCCTCTCCGATTCAAACCGTAAGGACTTTGAGGCAGAGAAGAGGCCAGACAGTCTCTGGCAAAATTCAGAGTATTCCACCCGAAACTGCCCTCTGAGATAGAGTTCTAGATTCCGAATGCACTCTTTCCACTGCCAATTTCCCCTTCTCTTCCCGCCAGAATAGTCCTGCGAATAGAACTCTGATTACACTAGTATACCCTGGACATAAAAGTGAATAAATGAAATGTGTTAGAATTGTAGGAGGGTTGTATTTTATCTTCTGTTGGCCACGCCATCCCCTTCCGGCCGCCATTCGTGGCCCTCAGCAAATGAGCTCACTCGGATCCCCACACCCTTTCCTGAGCAAATTATCATGACGTGTTAACCCGGGCAGTGGTCTCTGTCTCACACACATACGTCCTTCCTCCGCGCTGCCATACCCAGCGGCTGCGAGGCCCAGCACCGCACCGCCACCCTGGAATCCCCGCTGGCCCAGCTTCCGGTCACGAAGCCGGTCCACTGCGCATGCCCAACGCGACTCTTCCCCCCCCCCCCCGCTCCCCCGCCCCCGCCGCTTTCCGTGACGTCACTGCACGCCTCTTGTTAGAACCCCCGGCGAGGCCGCCTGGCTGTGAGCTGGGAGTGTGGGCGCCCGCCCCCAGCCCCTTCCCGCCAGACAGTGGCAGGCTGCTGGTCTGTGTAGGCTCCGGGAGGGGCGGGAGTGGACCAGAGAAGGCGGGGCCTGGGGAAGCGGCTGCCTGCTTCTACCCCCGCTTGGCTTTGGGGCAGCCGTCCCGCTCGCCTAGGAAGTTAGAACCAGGACACACGGCACAGAAGCACTCTTTCATTTGTGTCTGGAGAAATGCAATTTCCCCTCCAAACGAAATTAATCTCAAGACGAGCGACAAGTGTTGCAGAATCTCCACATCTATGGGTGGGTGGTACTACCAAGTTGAGGGTTTGGAGGTTTTTTAAAGAAACTTGGCCCATCTAAATCCTAAATTTGAGAGGCTGAATTCTGAGAAGTGGGTAGGTAAGTGCTCTCTTGGTCCAGGTTTGTCATCTCTAAGCTGGGTGTGAGCAAGCATATGCTAGATATTCTTCTAGGAAGTGTCGGTATCAGAGTGTACAAAACGGATAAACGGCCCACCTTCATGGAGCTCAAGTTCTAGGAATTCAATCTGCTGACTTTATATAAGTGAGACACAGAGATACAGAGGCTTTTCAAGCAGGTCTTTAAGAAGAAAAAGTATTATTTCACGGAAGGGTTAACTACCAGAGATATGACCCATACAACGAAGGGAAAGAATTTGAGAAAATTCATATCTGAGAGTATGGCCCAAATTGATTGATAACATAGGGAGGAGGCTAAGGGAAGTGCACACACCTACACTGGACGTTGCACTCCGGGTTCTATGTCGGTGATGTCTTCAGACGTGAAGAGGCAGCTGTGGAGTAAGGATGGGGCCAGCTGGGAAGGAGAACCAGCTGTAGGGGCTCCTAGTCTAACACTAGACCTTAGTGCTGAGAGACTCAGGAGCAGAGACTAGAAACTAATTTTAGAATTTTTTCCTTTCCCATATTTATTTTACCATGGTGGTTACTAATAAATCCCTAAAATGAAAGACTTATTTAGTTCACTCATTTATTCTAACAGCAAATATTTGAAAACATACTATTACTAGACAATATGCTAAAGGCAGGCAGCAAAATCCAAAACAAATAGTTCCTACCTTCAGCAAATTGGTAGTCAAGACACAGAGGCTGAGCAATTAACAAGGGAATTGATTACTCAGGAAGTTTAGGGTGCTATGGCAACACTGACCAGAGACCTAATCATATGCAGAAGGGACAAGCCCAGATCCAACACTTGCCCTCCCAATTTACCTACAGTGGTTATTCTTAACTTTGAGATAACTTTGGTGGCAGAGTGAAGAAAAAGAAGAGCTGGTGACACGATCTAATTCCCTTCCCAGTCTTCAGCAAGGTGAAGGCAAGGAAGTAGAACACAACAAGGGTGTGTGGTTCAGCCACCAAAAGAGATAGTAAACTAAATCTGCAAGAAAGGACGGACACCTGGTATCTATCCATCAGGACCAGGGAAGGAACACTGAAGGGGATCAGTGGAGAACTTGGCCTGCAGTCTCCCAGCATTCTGGAAATAATTTTTTTTTTAAAAAAGAAGAAACTGGGCTCTAGTTAAGACCACATAAAACCATTCACTCATTCCTCTGATATGTTTACAAAGTTTTTATTACAGTCACATACTAAAAGTTTGATGCTTCTTGGCACTTTAGAACACTATTTTTAACACCCATGGTCAGATCACCTTATCTGGGCCCCAATCCAGATGGGAGCCTGGCTGCTAGCATCTCACAGTATAAGGGAAAGGGACCTGCCCAGATCCAAGAGTTGCCCTACCAATTATGTACAGTGGTTTCTTTATAATTTTGAGCTATGCAGACAGTGACAGAGGCAGCCAGACATCAATACCAAATCCCTCACCTCACCCACTCAACGAAATAACAAAAAAAAAAAAAAAAAAAAAAAAAAAGGAAGTTACTATACCTATACCTTTTATGTTTCCTGGTCTCTAGAAAGCCAACTTCTGCTCACAACTGAGCATCTCACCTTTACCCAGATTTTTCTTGGTCACACTTCAACAACAGCAGATCCCACTAGGTCCCTTACAGACCCTAAAACCAGGGCGTAAGCATTCTAAATAAGTCCCACTGCCACCTGCAGTTGAGTTGAGGCTATGCTTTTTGAAATTCACCTAGCTCAACTCCAGTAGCAAGTAGGAGGTGGCTTAGTTTAAGGGTAGCAGACTAGATGTGGCTTTCCCAATATGGCCCGGCACCAACAGCCATCAGTATTCAGCAGGACTGGGGCTGCTACCAGAGATCAGCATCTTGTTTACCATTTAGGTCTTCACGTTTAAATCATAATTCCATCCTTTAAAAAAAACAAACAAACAAACAAAAACCTCTGGCCAATATGGCTCAGTTGGTTGGAACATCATCCCCTACCAAAAGGCTGCGAAGGCTGCGGGTTTGATTCCTGGTCAGGGCACATACTTAGGTTGCAGGTTGGATCCCCAGTCCAGAGATAACACACCAGAGACAACCCATTGATGCCTCTCTCCCGCTTGCTTTCTCTCTAAAAAAAAGCAATGGGAAAAAAAGTGTCCTCACGCAAGGACCAAAAAGCAAAACAAACAAACAAAAAAAGGAAAAAGCGTCAGGGGCCAAGCTTAAGTTAATAGATAAAACCAGCTTGTGGCACGTATAGATGCAAAGTTCTGCACCTTAATTATTCACACCCAACTACCTCCACTAGGGAGACAAGCAGGTTTGTGCTAGGTAAGCCTATTCCAGAAAAACACTGATCAGCTCTTCTTTCATTTCACTTTACCACACTCAACACCCAATTTTTCCCAAACACAAATAATCCAAATGACAGGAAAACTGTAAAATTCTCCAAACAAGGAGCAGCTGCCCCTTTTATACTGAAGAGTTTTCCTAGATGCCCAGATCTTCCTCGAAAAGAAGAAGGGAGCTCTGTCCTCTCTGAAGGCTGCCACTGAGTCATACATCTCATCTACCACCTCCTCCCCCACCCACACACAGTGGGAGCTGAGCAGTGGCCAGGTAAATACCAGATAACCAACTCTTTGACAGGATCCCTGGGACTTCTGTGTTAACATTTTCCCTTTAGGAGCTCAGTTTATGAGCGTTTACTCCACAGGCCAGGTGACTTTGAGACTTTGGCACCTATTTCTATTTAGATATCAAGTTTGGTTTCTAAGCAACCATCCAGCTCCCCTCCCTCTGACTTCCAGGGAGCCAGGTTACTATACTAGCAGAACAGGTCAAACAGAGATCAATCCTGGACAAATCAGTGCTTGAGGGAACTTTAATGAAAGCCAGAAAAAAATGTGGGACAATAACAATGCAGAAGGGTTCTGTTCCAGGCAGTTTTATACAAGTAGAATGAAGTCATCGAGTCAGAGTTTTAAAGCAGGCATTATTTCAGGCATCATTCCAACCCCTTCACTTTGCAGTAATGAATCTGAAGCCCAGAGGTTAAATGACTTGGTTCAAAGTCGCACATGGGAAGCAAAGCTGTAACTAGAATGCTGGTGTCCAAAATGCCCAGGCCAATTCTCCTTCTACTACATTATACTACCATTGGGATGTTTAAAAAAAGGAAGGGCAAGTATGAAAGGTGATTTTTCCATAAATTAAATCAACTTAAAGAGCCAGGCATATTTGGAGAATCAGAAACTACTAACATTGTTAGAAAGAAAGGAGGCTTTAAAAGCTGGTTAAATCCGAATAATAAAAAATATCCATATGTACAATACTGTAAAAAAGGGAAGATGGCATTCACGGTTACTGAGCTGGCAGGGCAGGGGGCAGTTGCATGCTGGGGGCAGGCTGCATGGGCTGCCAGCTCTCCTGGGTTTGCAGGATACGGTACAGCTGCTTCAGCTGAGCAACGATGTTATCTTTGATGTCTGGAGTTGAGATCTGCAGGCGGACACTGCCACTGTCAAAGGATCGTGTGAAGTCACCAGAAAACATCTCGTAGATCATCCGAGCCACCACCGGAATAACCTGTTCAGGTCACAGAGCACACAGGTATCTGCTGAGCAAAGTTATCTTTAAACAGCAGGAGGGACCCAAGATCGAACGAAGGACAAGTGAGGCCCTGAGGAAGCCCCCTACTTTAGATATAGGATATGCCTTCATCTCTCTGAACCATCCTACCAAGTTTCACTCTAAAAGCTGATTCAAATGAAGGTAAAGAACCTAGACATAGCATCACATCACATGTCTAAGCAAATAACTGCTCACTTAGCAAGACTTTTACTCAGATTTCATCTATCACCTGTCTTGTTGCAGAAATCCAGGGGGCAAACCCATGTGATCTTGCCTCTACTTCCTATAATAAAGTTATGTTCTTAAAAGTAATTCAAAGGTTTTTGTAAAAGAGCTGGAAAGGGTCATATCCTGTTAGGCTTCAGCAAGACTAATGTTAGTAAGAGAATGAAAGATAAGGTCTCCACTAAATCCATCACCCACCTTAAGGACCCTGTATTCCCCTACATGGGCCTACTGAACAATGTACAAACTCCATCTGACGGGATTAAAAGCCACACAGGCTGATGGGTCCTTGCTCAGGGCTCTATCCTGCACTGAGGGGCTAAAGCTTTGCTAAAACGGTAAAGAATCGTTGACATATCCTTATCTCCTCACCTGAACCAAGATGAGTTTCCTTTCCGGGGGTTTCCCATCTGGCCATTCTTCCCCAAAGCATAAGTAGATCTCAAATGGCGGCTGCTTCTCTATCTGTCCTTTCTGATGGGCAATGAGATCTGCAGAAGGTGGAAGAGCAAGTTTGGTAGTACCGGGTCATTCTGTTTCCACTCAGAAAATACCACCTTTTATGTTATCCTAATATAGTAGCCACTAGCCACAACATGTGGCTATTAAACTTAAGCTAATTAAAGAGTCTTAGTCACATTAAATACATGTACATGCTCAAAAGCCAAATGTGGCTACTGGCTACCATACTGGACAACACAAATATAGAATATATTCATTTTTTCAGAGGACACCACTGAGTTAAACTTAGGGTTCAAACCACATTGTAAAATTCACAACTCAGTGCTCTCCCTAAATCTCTCTGTTTGGGTTCATCACTCAGGTATTCTTCAAAGGAGAAGAGTATATGCTTTGCTGATTATGATGAACAGGGTCTCCTTCCAAAACGAAGGATAAGCTGGTAGTATTTGAGAGGTAATGACAAGGCTGTTTCCCTCTCCTGCCACTAAAAGCACCAAAACCAACCAAAAAATAGCTTTTAAGTACATAGCATTGGAATGGAATGCTATTCTTAGTTGCCCAGGTCACTATCATTTTTCAAAACCAAGGTTCTCTTCAACCTTGACTTGCTCCAGAAAAAACTTCTGGGCTAAAATCTTTGCAGAGGCAGGAAAGGGGGAAGGGATGAGGGAAGACGTTTTCAGGGACCAGTTCCCACCATCAACTTTTTGAAAAAACACTCACCACTAAGGAATGTTTCCAGACAAAATAGTTTGACCTTCTTTTGTCTCTCAATCAGGTTGGGGGCAACAAGTGATGGGGCGCATGGCCCAGACCAGTACACCTTGCACTGACACAGCCTGATGGCATAAATGGCGTGACCGCTGACCTCCAGAATCAGTCCTCTGTCCATGACATCTAGAAGCTTGGTGGTGAACAGCTTCTGCTTCTCATTGGTGATATGCTCCGGACCTGGGAACTTGACCTGCTCCAGGCTGACGGGACCAAAGAGCTCCTCCTGGTCCGGCATAGGACCCAGGTCCCCATAGAAGAGCCGGCAGCCCTGGGGGTTGCTCACAGTCAACGTCTGCCCATACTCCTTCCCACGGTACTGAAACTTGATGTCCAAGTCGGTCACTGCAAGGTGAGAGAGGACAGTAAGAGTCCTGCTCTGCTGCTCTGCCTCTTTATATCCCTAAGACTCATGCGAGTCCGTCAAGATCAAGCCACCTTTCAACCAGCATTCAGGAAGGCCACTGTCATAGTTGTCCTTCCTGCAATTAAGGGAGACATCAACATAACCCTGGAATACTCACTCAAAAGGCTGTCTTGAAGCAAACAGTTCAAGGTCCACCTATACTGTCTCTGTTCAATCACCACACCCTAAGCACTAGCAAAGTTCTGAGTCCTGGTCTCCCCATTTCATACTGAGTCTTTGTATCAATAGGTACTGGAAGGAGCCAAAAACTAAGGTATCTGGTTGTGTCATATTTTTGTCTCATTGTTTAAAGAAGCCAGAAAAGTAGGAAGAAATACCAAGTCAACTTTCCATTTTAACTATATATCATAAAAAGGACACAGTTCACAGCAAACTAAATTTTCACTCAGCAAGTCTCCCTATGGTGTTATGAAAGCTACTAGCCTCTTAGACAAAATTCTAGCACTCACATCCCCCTCCCCACCACATGTAAATTAAAAAGGATTTGGAGCATTGACAATGATTCTTTTTCATTTTATTATTTTTTTTAATCCTCACCTGAGGATATGTTTTGTTGATTTTTTTAAAGAGAGAAAGAGAAACATAGATAGGTTGCCTCTCTTACTCCCCTTCGCCAGGGATCAAACCCACAGCCTAGGTATGTGCCCTGCCTGGGAATCGAACCCACAATCTTTTGGTGCACAGGACCATCTCCAACCAGCTGAACCACTCCGCCAAGAGGACAATGATTCTTCATTGAAATAAATTCGTACCCAAACCAGAGAGGCTTCCTCTGGGCACTAACGCCCCTGATCCAAAAACCTCCTTGACCAAATCTATAGCCATTACCTCCCTATCCCACAACTGGCCTTCTCCCCAAATTCCCTAGGCACACTCATACTCAGGCCTCCCATCCACCTAAGAGGTGAGTAGCCTGGAGCTGTAACCAAACAAGAGCATCCCCATGGACGATTTATAAGCTAATGTTTCTTAACTTCTTCCCTGGTGGCCCGTCATCAGTTGGCCAGAAACCAGATACAGAAGGTACCTGAGGGAAAGACAGCTATTCTATAAGGCAAAGAAATGAAGGTAGAAGACAGGGCAGGAAGGAACTATAATAGGAGTTGGAGACCTATCAAGAAAGACCCGGGCCCACTTACTTGGAAGAGAGCTGATCCATAGCTCTGGAGAGCTATAGAAAGGCTGAAGCGGTGCCTGGGGCACTTCCATCTCCAGAGGTTCCGTTTTGGGCCACACTGCTTCAGGGCTGCAGTTGCCCACGCTGCAGTTGCTTACACTGCAGTTGCCCACACTGGCTGGCGCCATGGGAGAGCCTAGAACAAAACGATGTGGGTGAGCAGGCAGGGCCACCACACAGGCACAGCACCTGGTCTGAGGCTCTAAAACCCAACAAAGTCAACAGACAAGAGTCAAACACTGGACCGTGGCTTGATGTGGCAGCCCATCACTGATTCCCACAACTAATACAATAGGAAACACAGTTCCCCTGCTTCTGGGAAGCTTAATCATATTAGTTCTCCCATAAACTCACAGCTATGGAAACCTGTGTTTGCTGAAGATTAACAGAGGGGTAAATGTCCTCTGGGGTTAAATGAGTATGGGCGTGTATAAGAGGCCCCTGTGGTAAAATTTGAACCCTACAACTAAATAGAACCTGGTTGTCTTTCATAAAATGAACTCAACTGAATTAGTTGATTATCTCTGAGTAAGTGTTAACTTATCAAAAGTTCCATTAAAAACAAATACTTTTATTTGTGTAAAACATTTAGAAGGATACTCAAGGACCTGGAAAGATCTGTCTCCTCCAGGGAAGGTTCAGACACAGAATGGAAGGAAAACCTTTCCACCGATTATCTTTTTTGTACCATTACGGATTTTAAATCATGTAAAAATATTATTTATTCAAAAGTATCCAATTAAAGCTATGATTAAAAGAGAATAAAAAACCCATCTTATTTCCCGGCTACTGGCAAAGTTGTCTCCAAAGTCTACAGATTTCTCCTCCTAGCCTCACCTCTTAGGCATCTATTCTTCAACAATTCTTCTTCCTCTGCCCCAATAGCTCTGAAATCACAGAGGTTAATGTTTCTTTGACCCTTTGTGTACAAGTCTGGTTAAACCTATGTACTCATTTTACTTTTTGTTTTTAATATATGTCCCACATCTTCCTAAAAAAGGATCCCAGTCAGCCCGCAAGTATCTCATTTGACCCGTAGCAGCCAGATGGAACTAGAAAGGCAGCAGAAAGCTGCTCAACTGAATGCATGTCAAGGAGCATTTCAGTGGACAGTCCAAGGGAAGATGCTGCAAAGGAGCAGTTCGCCTTGTGGCCAAGCATCCTTAGAATGTGCAATGGGAGATTCCATACCGGCTCTGTTACCCAGGGACATTCCAACCTCTCAACTCGTTCTTTCTGGGAAGCTGAATTCAAAAAGCCCACAAAAGAAAAGTCTCTTGCAGACAAATTCTGTCATCAGAGTCTAGCATCGAGAGTTGTAGAAACCAAAAGTTCCTGTCACACAGCCTTAGCAGAGTAGACTGTTAAGGAAGTGCCACAAAATTTATACAGGAAGGACAGAAGAGTTTACGTAAAATTCATGAAAATGTCATCTGCAACTTGGCCTGAAGGACATTAACAAAATTTATAAGTTTGTGTATTTGTATGTGGGACTGGGAATGAATAAAATTTTTGACTAGACCAGTAGGGATCCATTGCCTATGATCCCTACTTGCTAATAGACCAGCAGCCTGGCCACGGAGCCTGGTCACCACTCCCAATGTAGTGGGGGCTCGGGGGTCAGCAGTAGCAAAGTCAAAGCCCTCCTCAACCCTCTGTACAACCCATCCCCCCTACTCACCATTGATGTTCAGGAAGGGAAAGGTGTCCTGGATGGGAACATGGTGCTGTGACTGATCCAGCTCATCTTCCTCATCATCTTCATCCACATCGTTATCCTTCTCATCCCAAGGAGCAGAGCCAGTGGATCCTACCAAGAAACAGGCACACAAGCGCACAAGTGAACTCAGGTTGCACTATTACCCCTGCAGCTGACTCACAGCACAAGCCAGGGGTGTGCAGCACAGAGGGTCCTCGGGTGCAGTGTGCACCCTCGGTGCCCTAACTAGAGAGGGAGCTGAGGGTGTGTTAATCCCTGGTTCCAATGTTTCCCAGAGCCCTGATGTAAGCTCTCTTCCCCTCCTCTATTCAGGAGCTACAAACCCTAGAAGAATTCTCCTTTCCAGGATTCTCTTAATTTGTACTCTAACCCTCTTCCTACACGTTTGCATCACTTTTAAGGGTGTAAGGATGACTTTTTTCCTTTGCAAGCTTAGCGCAAGGACAAACCCTTCCCTCGTGGCAGGGCCTCACTAGATTTGCTGGAGGACAAATCAAATTTATCTGGCTCTTGTTAGGTTCTTGTTAAGGGTTGGGTAAATAGGAGGATCAGCCAGTATTCTCTTAGTAAAAGTATTCTAAAATTAAATGATCACTCACCACAACATTTATAAAAGAGAACGTAAGAGCTTTTACATGTTATGTTAATTGATTTTTATAACAGCCTTTGAAGTAGACAGGGAAGATGAGTGCCCACATTTTACAGTTGAAGAAACTGAGATTGACTAGTTCAAATGCCTTGACTCAATGTCCCACAAGTAGCGAAGTGATAAGAACCAGGTTTAGAACTCAAACCTTCTAAGTTTTATTTCCTCCTTCTTCTAAACTACCCGGCCTCTCCTCTTAGCATTGAGTCCCAAGAGAAGTTATTTTTCAGTAGAAATCTATACTCCCTCTACTTTCTTATCATCCTCTTTAGCAGTCAGGCTAGTGTCTATCCCCCTAAGTGAGCAAGAAGGTTTTGCTGAGTTTACATCTTCTGTTCTCTGGGTCCTTCCCGGGAAAGGCTTTCTTGTTTACCAGTCTAAAACATAGGAAACTGGGTAATTTTCAAGTCGACTATCTCTTTAAGAGTCCAGCCTAGAACTTGGCATACTGTCCACCTTCACCCCAGCAGCTGGGGCCTCACCTGGGTTAATGATCGAGCCCTGGGGCTGGGGAATGTCACACACTTGATATATCTTCACCGGGTTCATGGGCACCTCCTTGGTGCCATCGTACATCAGGTTGAATTCCCTGCTCTTGTTGAGAGCACAGCGGAGCTGGGCCTTCCATTTAGCCGGGTCAGGGTCATCCACTCCTTCTTGGTACTTCCCTGTCTCCACAGCCCAGGCCTGGGGAACAGGAAACTTCAGTGAGTGCCTCCTGCTGCCCAGAAACACTGCCAAGTGTGCTCACCCTCTCTCTCACACACACACCCTTGCCTGCCTGCCCCACCATCCCAACCTCAATTTACAGAGGCTGCAGCGGGAAGCATCTCCCTCAGGGCCAGCCAGGCAGACGGGGCCTGAGGGATATTAAGCCATGTGCAAACATAGTCTTTTGAAAGGAGGCGACATATCTCAAGTGTTAGTACCAGCACCACCTGGCTATAATGAAGGACTGAAAATAAAAGTCTGAAAAAAATATTCACCAAAATGCTAATGGTAACTTCAAATAACAGGATTTCCAGCAATTTGAGAAGCGAGGTGGAGGGGAGAGCTTTCTTGTTTTTGACGTGAATTATCTCTCTAATAACGAGGCAAAGAAAATGACACACAATATGAAGAGTTTGGCTTTGTTCTCCCCTCCCCCTCAGTCTTTAATCGGATGTGCACATAATTGTAGAAATCAAGTGCCTTTAGGAGTGACAGGAAGACAGGAAGCACATTGGGGGTTCAGCTTGCCTCAGCTTAAGGCTGACGGCCTCCAGTCAGCATAGGCCCACACCCTCTGCCTTTTCCTATTTCCTCACACCCCCACCTCACTGGAGACGCTGCTGGAAATACCAGTGGCTGGTGGCATGGGCTAAAACCACCTTGGCTCCTCCTCTCTGGTTCCTCCTTCCAGGTCTAACACATTTACGTTTCTGTGGGCAGGACAGCCATGCTCCCCCAGTGCTAACATAGTCTCAGATCTCTCTGCTTTCCCCAGGAGGGTAGCATGTTCTGGTGCACAAAGTGGGGACAACGTTAGCAGAGCACTCAAGATGAGGACGCACATACCAACTTGTCTGGGCTAACAGGGTATACACATCTCGTGCCCAGTCCCACCTCCCCATCTCTGCTCCTGACCAAACTTCTCCCTCAAGCAGAAGTGCAATTTTTCTGCCCCATCCTTTAGGATCTCTGGTTGGCTTCATCCCTCCATACAGAGCCTTGTAATCATGCGGAAGTTTCTTCTAACACCTAATCCTTCTCCAATTCAGGCTCACTTCTTACCACCTTCTCCAGACTTGGGGGCTCCTCCATTCATTATGAAGCATAAAATGGAGATTTGAAAATCATGCTGCTCTAGGTGGCTTAGCAGGCACCATTCCATCCAACCCCTCTCAGAGATTTCAACTTCACTGGTCCCTAGTGCCTGAGAAGCACATCTCCAGTTGTGCCTCATGTTACCTGGCCCACCAGGTGACCCCCGTTTATCTGATCCCCTGTGCCCACTCCCACTCTGGCCCCACCCAGCTGGCTCCGGCTGTGTTGACTTTGGCGCGGGCCTGTGAATTTCTGTGGCTCCCTTACATCCCTGCCCCTCCATAGAGAACAGCCAGACTAACCCAGAACCACAGCCCCAGCCTTCCTGCTCACAGCAGCGCATTCTCCCAGGCCACACAGATGACATGGAGGACCCATGCTGACGCAGAAGAAAGTAGCACCCACCACATGGCCATCGTTGTGATTTATTGTACAAACATCACTTGTTCAAATCCATTCTGAGTCATGCTTCTTAGATTCTGGTCACTGTACAGGTCCCTATTTCACTCCCTAAAATGGAGAAGATCCTGCCCTGGCTGGTGCAGCTCATTGGACTGAGCACTGGCCTGTGAACTGAAAGGTTATTAGTTCAACTCCCAGTCAGTGCACATGCCTGGATGGTGGGCTAGGTCCCCAGTTGGGGGTGTGCAAGAGCCAACTGACCGATGTTTTCTCTCATGCATTGATGTTTCTCTCCCTTCCTTTTCCTCTCTTTTTTAAAAATCCCTTCCATTTTAAAAATGGAAATGATCCCTGCATTTTTATGACAATGTATAAGTCCCTTCCTGTATAGTCTTTCATTCAATTTTCACAACAGTGCACTGAGGTGAGCAAGTAAAGTCATCCCCACTTTACTGGAGGGGAAACTAAAGCCCAAAGAGATTATGTGACTTGCTCAAGACCACACATGCAATTGATAGTAGCAGGATTGAAAGCCAGGTCTTTCAATTCCTATTCAGAGGGGGAGGCCTGAGGCTGGGGGAACAGGCAGACCTGGGTTCAAATCATGGCTCCACCACTTAATTGGCTGTGTGATTTTGGAAAGTTACTTCACCCCTCAGAGACTCAGCTTTGGTGTCTACAACATGTCCCTTACAAAGCTGTCAAGAGTTAAATGAGATAATGGACACAGGGAATGGACCAGGCACCCACTTAATAACTAGTACCCCCACCCCACAATCCTATCCAAGGCCCATCAGAGCTTTGGATCTGTGAAAGCAACCTCATTCTTCTCCTGCCTGCCGAGGCTCTCCCTTAGCACGCCCCAAACAGATACACAGATAGAAATAAGACAAAGCAGCTTCCCACAAGCCCCTTTTCCTCAAGCCCTACGCATGCAGATCAGTCTCCTGAATGGGGCTTCCAGGAACCAGGGCCTCTTCCCCCATAGCCAGCGGCCAGGAGACACTTCAACAGCAAACCCAATTTTAGAGCAAGGCCACAGCAAGGCCACAACGGGCCAGCTGGGCAGGGCGGGCCCATTCCCCTCTTGACGCCAACCCAAACAGATGCTGCTGGTTTACAGATGTTTGCCTTTCTCTTTTACATCATTATCTAATTTTTAAACCAAGTGCTCATTCACTTTCTAAGTAATCTCAGGCCAATTTTCTCTCCGCCTCCTGTCTCTGTTCCTGACCTGACTGAGTTGGTTGGGAAAGAGCTACAGGGTGGCTCTCCCTTGAGCTGTGCGCCCCCTTCCCTGAGCCTATCTCAGCAAGAACCTGAGGTACCAATCTTGAGAGGCCCGTGGTAGGGCCTGGATATCACGTCTGACTTGCAGCTCATAGTCAGGAAAAAACAGGATGAACTCACATCTTGGTGTCTTGGAGGCGCAGTAACAAAAGCTATTCATGAGATAGAAGACTGACCAGCACAGAGAAGTTGGTATGGAGTTGGGCTACAGGCTCCCCAGTGACCAGCCACATCACACCCCTTCCCACAGCCGGCCTCCCACCTTCCTAAGTCTAAGTCAAGCTCTGGTTTCACTTAAATGTTGTAAAATGCCAAGCGATTAAATCTTGTTTTCAGTTAAGTAAAATTACTCTAATATCAGAGATTGTTTTTGTTTTAAAGTAGTTGTATTTATTTTTTATTTGTTAATTACTTTTTATTTAATTAAAGTTAAATATAGTTGCTAGACAATATTGTATTAGTTTCAGGTATACAATATAGTGATTAGGCATTTATATAATTTATGAAGTGATCACTTTGATAAATCTAGTACCGATGTGACACCATATATAGTTATTACAATATTATTGACTATATCCCCTTTACTGCTTTTTACTTTTAAAAAAATTGTATAATAAAAATAAAATTAAATCCCTTTTAATTTTTTAAATTATTTTTATTTATTGAATTTATTAGAGAGAGAGGAAGGAAAAGGAAGGAAAAAAAACACATCGATTTGTTGTTCCACGTATTTATGCATTCATGGGTTGATTCTTGTATGTGCCCTCAGCGGGGACTGACCCCACAATCTGGGCATATCGGAATGACACTATCCAACTGAGCTATCTGGCCAGGGCAAATCACCATTAATTTTTAAGCAGAGGTATGGATGGGGCAAAATATTTTACTATCAAAAGAGAAACTTGTGGAGAGCCCTCTATACCTATCCTACAGACTATGCTAGGCACCTGCTAATGCTCAGTAGTTCTGCCCTGGTCTGCAGAGCCATTCCCAAGCTCAAACACCTTTCTTCATAGCTAGAGCCCTGAGTGAACGAAGAGGAATAGTCCATTGCTGACCCTTGGGAGCTGTTAAAACAACTCACAGGAGTCTGGCCAACTTTACCATCTGGACCCTTTAGATGTGAGTTGAGTACCTTCAACCCGTGGGAATGAATAAACGACCTCAACCATCATAGACGTGCCCCCAACATGAGAAACTACGATGCCTGCTATGTTTGAGCACCCCCATCATAAACCCTGTTGCATTAGCATTTTGGATTTAGCGTATTCCTCATGTCAAAAGAGAAAACAAAATAGAACATAAAAGCACATTGGTCTGAGAGAAATAGAAAATCTGTCAAGTCATATGGGAAGGTTCTTTACCTTAAAAATGGTATTTTCCTCCTCTTGTTGGGGGCTATGGCGGGTGGCATGTTTCCAAGGAATCTGGAAGCGTTTGGAGTCCCTGTGCAGCCAGATGAGCCCAGGGTACAGGCCACTATCCACCTGGGCCACCAGCCAGGGCTTCAGCCGAACTCTGCGGGGGTGGAGGGCCATGATCTGGGTGGGGGAGGGGAAGAAATGGGGAGAGCAAGGAGAATTAGGCCGGTCACTGGGAGCTTTTCCCAGCCACCGTTCCCTCATGATAGAGCTACAGTTTCATTAGATTACAGCAAAGAAACTAAATATGGGAATACACTGTGCCAGGTGGGGAAGAAAAGAAAAGAGGTTAAAAGGTTCTTTTGATTCTTATTCCAAAGCCATTTATACTTCATGCTCTAGCCAAATCAGATTTATCATGTAAGTAGATCACATTTCTTCTATTTAAATCCTGAAGCAGAAAAATGAAAAGATGATGTCATCTCTATTGGAACACAGTCCTTCCTGAAATACCAAGGGCTCTGGAAGAGAAGAAAAATTGCTCTTTTCAATCTCATCTCAGGAAAGGGAAAAAAACAACTATGGAAACACTAAGGACATGGGCAAGAACCAGAAGCGCACTCTCTTTTCAGCCAAGACAACTAAAGACAAATGGGAATATTTCAGTAAAAAATGACACCATCATGGCGAGAGGGAAGTAGACGGGTAGGGTGGGAGGCGCGGGAGGGAAGGTCCTAGTTGCAAAGTCCTCACTTACACAGATGAGCAGGCAGTGTGTCCACAAGGATCTGATGAGCTGGGCCTCAAGTCAGCTGTCCTTTCTCTGGGCCACCCAAAGATTCTGTACCAAGAAAAAGGGTTCATACCCTGTTATCCGCAAAACAACCCAGTGTGTGGGAGAAGACTTGGGAACCCTGGAGAAAAAAAGCTCTGAGAATCCTGCCCCGCCACTGAGTCTGGGAAGGCTCAGAAGCCCTGGAATAATCGAACACCGCTGTTCCCAACCCTGGAGTACTAAACACAGTCGCTGCACTGCTAGGACAGCCTCCTCACCTGGATTTGTTTATTTCCCGACAGAGGCTGAAGAGAACTGATTGGCTGCAGAACCAGCCTGGGTAAAGTCTGCAATTGATTCTCATAAAAATACCCAGGCATAACAGATAACCTTCAGTGGCAGCCTGCACCCACAGCGGGAAAACAAAGGCTTGCCTGGATTATGTGCCCCAAGGAAAAGCCAATCACTGGAGAATTGTTTGCCTGGAATGTTGTACTTAAAAAAAAAAAAGTGTGTGGTTTGTTTTTTTGTTGTTGTTGTTGTGGTCCTTATTTTACTTTGTTTTCACTTAAGGTGAGAAAGAAATACCTGAAAAATAACATTCATTCAACAATTAGTTTGTCATCAGTACTATGCTAGTTACTAAATACTAAAGCTCAATGTTTTCATCAGAATCCTTCCTGAAGACATCCACAATGGAACTGCTCAAGCCCCACAAAGGCCTGAGGAGGAAAGGAACTTAAGTCACTTTCAAACCCAGAAAGATCCCCAACTGGATCACAGTTCAAAAACCAAATCAGCTGAGTCAGCAGAAGGCTCCCACTCAGAGGAGCTTAGTTGACCCGGTGGCCCCTAATACCGCTTCTCTCCCCAGCCAGACTTCCACCCAATGGGGAAAACCCAGACCCAACTCAGCCCCTGGCACTTTAAAAGCAAGGCTGGACCTGCTCTCACCTGAGCCTTCTGACCCAGTTACCAAGTCCTGCAACTGAAACCTTCCTCCTGGGAGCACAGCTCAGTGGGCAGGTGAGGTTGGCTGGCAGGCAGCATTCAAGCAGCCCCCACCGCCCTGGTCTTGGCCTTGGTTTAGGTTGTTTTGCAGGGCAGCAAGACAAGCCATTAAAACACAGGGAACAATTACCTTATAAGGAGGAGGAAACACATTCTCCCAAGGGCAAGTTCTACCTTCTCCTCCTCAGTCTTAGCCTGCCGCCAGGGGGATGGGGCAAGGGAAGGATGAAAAGAATAGAAAAATGGGCAGCGAATCAGTCAACCTAGCAAGGGGCTTTTGAGAATTCATATTGCAATGCATCTAAGTCCTGTGTCTGGGCCTGTCTGACATGTGAAATCCACTCCTTGATGGATCATGGACTTTGAAGAAAATTGCTCATTCTAGTTGATCCACAGCCCATGAAGAAAAAATTAAGGCAACCAGGCCAACAGAAGGAACTGCACATAGCATTGGGAAAGGTGAAGCAGCCACCCATAGAGACCCATGATTAAGATCTAGAGCCCTAATTTCTCAGCGTTCTCCCAAGATGGCAGTACCCATAGGCAACCCCACCCCAGCCTGCCCTCTGCCATGCCTCACGTCCATCACTGCCAACCTAAGTCAGGCAAGATCGCCCCACCTGCCACCCAGTAACTAAGACTCTAGAAACAGGCAGAAAGGGAAAAATTGGAAGCAACCAAATAACAGAGGAGAATGACTAATTACACGTTCTCAGGCTGCAATATTAAGCAACCATTAACAGGGCATCTGAAGAATTTTTATTGGATTTGGGGAAAGGGGAAAAATGCAGCAATAATATCAACTGTATAGTAGTATCTCCTTCTTGTAACGTAAAATGCACTTGGGTATGTATACACCTACACACAGAAGTTTAAAAAGGGAAAGAAAGAATACACCAATCCACAAGATATTCTCAATGGAAACCTGGTGATAGGATTATGGGTGGATTTATACTTGCCTATACACAATTCACATCTTCCTGCCATGACATGTTTCAATTTATAGTTGTTGTGTTTTGTTTTTTTTTTTAATTAACTACAAGTAGTATTTTTTTAACCACAGAAAGCTAAGACATTTCTTGGCCACTGGAAGGTATAAAAGATGATGGCCTTCAGCTGATGAGACCAAGGTAGCAACAATCTTTTATATCTACACAGGCTTTACAGCTTTTACATGAGCGTTTACTTAACATGTCTGATTTCACCCTCCTGATCTGGAAATGGTATTAGTCTCATCCCCATTTATAGCTGGGTGAACTGAGACACAAAAAAGTGAAGTGCTTCATCTGGGGCCTGGGTCCAACACTTCTGAGTCAGAGTGTGCTGTACCAGATCCTGCCACTGCACCCTGCCGCCGGAGCCCCTCCTTTCTTCTACACACTAAGAGAGGAAACCAAAAACACCAACAAAGATGCCAGCAGCCTGAAGAGTCAATGAAGTGGTTCGGGAGAAGACTGCATGACACCCACCTTGAAACACGCCTAAATCAGAGTTTTCTTTCAAAACATTCTCACCACCCAACCCTAATGCCCACAGAACAACCCTGGCCTAGTTGAACTCAGCCTGGGTATCTCTAATTGCCATCATAGTGAAATTAAAGGCCTGTATAACCAGCATGTATTTAACCAGCCAAAGAACAAAGACACTAACCCACCCACTCCCCCTCACAGTAGGCACTGAGCAGGCCCACGGTCAGCCTCCCCAAGGCACTAACCGTCCTCTCCCCCATTCCAGAGGGCACGTGCTCTATAAACACCCCGCAGGCACCTCTGCAGCCCCTACCCAGACAATTTCCAGGGGCACTGCTACCCTAAAGCTGAGATCTGACTGTCAGTGGTTTTCCACAGAATAAAACACACCGCTATTTCCTGCAGACCGGCCTCGGTGGTGGTCCTGTTTTTTCCCCTTCCTCCTGGGGGAATTAAAATGCCAACCTCCAGATTCCCAGTCTCTCCTCCGTTTGGTTTATCCCTGCTCAGGAGTAAATTCTGGGTCGATAGCCATTGTTCCAAAGCCTTTCCCTCTCTGCTGGATTGAAGTTGGGGGCTGTGAGAGCACTGTGCAGGGTACTGGGCGCTGCTGCCACGCATTCCTTACACGCACATTTAACCCTACACGACTCTCCCGGGCCGGCACCAGCCTTCACCAACGCACTCAAGCGTCTTCTCTCTCTCCTTTCCCTGGCTTCCACTTTTGACATCCTCCAAGAGCAGGGCTTGGGCAGGGACGACCCCTTCACCACCAAACAGAATCCCTGTAAAGTGTGGCACCCCGGGTCTCCCTTCCAGTAAGCCTGGGAGACTTTCCACAATTCTCCCCAGCCGCCCTCCAGCCCCTACAAGGGAAGAGGGCCTCACCCCCGAGCGACCACGCCCGGCGCCACCCTCCCAATACCTAGCTGGTCTACTTGGAAATCCACTGGTGTCTCCCAGGGCGGGGGGCCTGACTGAGAGAAAACAAACTGGCTAAATTGGCCTCCCCGACCCCAATTTCCCAGCCACGCCCCCACCTCCCACTCCCCCGCGCCCCAGCACCTAGGGCCGGCGGTCCTGGGAATTCCGCCCTTGAGTACACAGAGGCCGGCGGCAGAGCGAGCCGGTAAGACTGGCGGGGTGGAGACGTCTTAGCTCCATCCGATGGTGAGTGGGTAGAAGCCCAGAGCGGGTTGGGCGGGGAGGGAAAGGGAGTCGACAGAGTGTGGGGTCGGGAGGGCCCAGCGCCCCGGGACTAGGACAGCCCAAAAGCCACTTGGAGCAGGGAGACAGGAAGCCAGCCCCAGAGGCTATCCCCCTCAAAAAAACCAGATGTTCCGAAGCAAGTTTCCCTGACCCCACCAACGCTGGAGCGGACCTTTTTCCACCTGCGGGCGTGTCCCTCCTCCCTCAAACTAGCCTCCAAAAGTTGGCGTCCCCACCTTTCGTCAATCCGGCTACCAGAAGCGGACGTCCCTCCGAACCATGTCCCCAGTTAAGATCACCAGTCGCCACTGAGCTCCTCGACGGGTTGGGCAAGTAATACCCAGCCCTACGCAGGTACGGACTGCGGGCTCTGCTCACAGTCCCGCACCGGCCCTTACCTGCTCCGCCCAGGTGCGCTCGGCTCACGTCAGCGCTTCTCCCAGGACTCAGGGGCCCTCTCCGCCACCTGGCCACGCCTCCCAGGTGTGGCCACGCCTTCCGGCGCTCAGGATTGGCGGGTTGCTAGAAATATGAAACTCTGTGTTCCTGGGCGGCCCAGCCCGGTCCAGCCCCCGCCCCACAGCACTCCCCTGCTTCTCACCCGGGCTGAGAAAATTTCCAGATTCAGGCTCACACCTTACGCAGAGTTGGAGGGCGGGGGGTAGCTGGTAGTCTCGGGAACAGGAAGCACTGGGAGGTCAGATCTAAGTCTAGAGGGTGCCACCGTCCTTCATGCCTCTTAATTACCCAGCGGTATGGAGACTATTAAACCCATAAGGGTTCAAAGCTTCTGGGTTGACCATACTACCCGTGGGCCCGGGGATGCAGGATACAGGGAAGGCATTCTTGGTCCCTTCTGGAGGGAAGGAAGCACGGTGGCTTCCAGAGCAGGAATTTTGCCTTAATTCTGCCTGTTACCTGTGTGACCCTGGCAAGGCTGCTTAGTTTCTTGGTTTCAGTTTCCCCATCTATTCAGTGAGATAGTAGTCCCTGCCTTTTCCACTCTCCGGTAAAGATTAAACGCATGGCCTCTGGAGATTCACGCTCCAGTTGTTCATCTCATTTCAAAGGGTTGGGATTCAAACCCCAACTCCATCGGTTACTACCGACTGCGGGAAATGTCTAAGCTACCTAGACCTCAATTTCTTATCTGAGGTAGAACAAGGTAAATAATAGCCCCTCGCCCCCAGGGGTATTGTGAAGATTCAATAAGTTAATATAAAGTGCTTCAAACAGTATTTGGCACTTATCGAGTGCTATATAAATAATTGCAATTTTTTATCAGTGTATAAGGACAATAATACCATATAAACAGTGTCTGACAGAATGAGATGAGGTTGCCTGTTATTACCCGAAATTCAAGGCCTGTATATCCCCTAACAGGTACTTGATGAAAGTTCCCTCACCTTTCCCTCTGCAGTGAACCCCAGTCCGTATAGAATACGTGCTTACAGGCCTAGCCAGGTTGCTCAGTTGGGGGCAGGTTTGATCCCCAGTCGGGGTGCCTATGAGAGGCAATCGATCGATGTTTTTCTCTCACATCAGTGTTTTCCTCTTTCCCTTCCTCTCTGTCTCTCAAAAAAATTAATAAAAAACATATCTTCAGGTGAAGATTTAAAAAAAATATATGCTTGCAGTAAGCTGTGTACCACTACATGAGACCCTGAAAGTCACAGGTAAGAAGGGCCATAAGCAGAGTACTTACGTTTTGGAGTTTAAAGCAATGAGTGAGAGACTGTGAAAGAGCAGGGTTATGGATTGAACTGTATCACCCGTAAATTCATATGTTATGTGTTAAAGTCCCATAACCTCCAGTATCTCAGAATATGACCTCACTTGGAGATGGTCTTTTTCAAAATTGATTTTTAGAGAGAGAGAAAAGGGGAGAGAGACAGACAGGCAGAAGGAAACATCCATTTGTTGTTCCACTTATTTATGCAGTCATCGTTTGATTCTTGTATGCACCCTGACGGGGGATCAAACCCCCACCTCGGTGTGTCAGGATGATGCTCTAACCAAACGAGCTATCCCACCAAGCCATGGAGATAGAGGCTTTACAGAGGTAATCAAATTAAAATGAGGTCATTCGGGTGGACCCTAATCAAACATGACCGTACCTTATAAAAAAGAGAAATTTGGACGTAAAGACGGGCACAGAGGGAAGATAATGCAAAGAGACACAGGGAGAAGAGGGCATCTACAAGCCAAGGGAAGGCCTGGAACAGATCCTTCCCTCAAAACCCTCAAAAGGAACCAACCTTATAGACAATTTGATTTTGAACTTCTAGCCTCCAGAACTGTGAGACAATAAATTTCTCTTGTTTAAGCTACCCAGTGTACAGTATCTTGTTTCGATAGTCCTAGCAAACTAATGAAGGTAGGTTGAAGAGCTCCAGATTTGTAATAATGTGGACTTGATTCCTAGTCCCAACTAAGCTTAGGGACATAGTCATCAAAAAGCCCTGGGAAGGCAGCAATCCCCAAGCCTGACTCAGCCAGTCTCTGTCTCAGCCCTGCTTGTGGCCACTCTTCCTTCATGCAGGGGAAGGGTTATCAGCACTGTCAGGTCTTTACTACCGAGGAACTCAACGGACAAGCAGCATCTTCTATATAGCCCAAAGCTGAGCTCCGGAAACCAAGTGAACAATCCACTGCAGGTGTAAGGATGGGGAAAGACCACCAGGACATTTAAGGGGAGCTAAAAGCCAAAGGCATACAAGTATAAGCCCACACACAGGCATTCACATTTGCACTAGCTGAAATTGTCATAACTAAGGTGATTCATTAAGGATTTTTCTTTAGAGAACACATATTTCAGTGTCAGAAAATTCAACCCATGGCGGTCCTTAAAATCCTCTAGTCTGGAGGGTAAAGCTGGCTTAGAGGTGTTTGTTTGATCCACACAGTCTTAAGCCCCAGGAGATTTCACTAAACATCCAGATCCTCAGCGCCCTGGGCCAGCAGCTCCACCTGGCAACAGCTGCCCTGCAGAGGGGTCTACACGTCACACTTAGCACAAGCCCACCCTATTGGATTCACCCTATTGGATACTCACTGCCTACATATGAGTTTGCAACCTCTAGTCCAAATTTCCTCTTTTTATAGGTGAGAAAATTGAGGCCCAGAGAGGTCAAGTGATTTGCTCAAGATCACACAGAAAATGAGCCACAAAGCCAAGACTAGAACCCAAGCCCAGGACTTTTTCAACTTGGACCTGGCTCACCACCCCAACCAGCATTTATTCTGGTCAGAACTGAAATTTTTTTTTAAATCACCTTGTATCTAGGCACTTTCGATACTAGGGTGAACAAAACTAAATCCCAACACTTGGGTCACTCTACTGAAGAGCCAATGAAAGGCAATGAAGCAAGAGGAATTAAGGTAGATGTCAGGAAGAACTTTCCTGACTCTTCGAATGGTGAAATCTGGCTTGAGACACATCTCATCTGCTTGGTCTGAGGAATAAAAACATAACGTGAAGCCCTCCGAGTCTCTGGAAGAATCAGTTTTATGTTCTTGAAGAGCTCTCTCAGGATTCAGACATCCCCAGTGTAGCTCAGGCCTGCGAAGTTCCCATTGTTTGCCCTCCATCCCTCTCAGGTGGAGCGATGCTGACTCACCACTGAGTCTGAGTTTCAGGCAGTGGGATGTATGTCTCAGCACCGGGTCTCTGATTCATAACTGCAGGGAATGGGGATTCTCCTCTCCTGCTCCCAGGCAGCTCTGATTTGGTGAGGAGGGATCTCTTTCACCACTCAGAGGCGTTAGCCTCTATAATAAAGTCATGTGACCCCAAAGTCAAGTGACAATAAAGTCATGTGACCCCAAACCCACTCTTCTTAGCAGAGCAGAGGGCATGGCAACCAGGGAGACTCTCAGCAGCTCAGTGCAGTGGAGAGCTGAGGGCCTCTGGAGTCGGGGACAGCAAATGTTTTCTGAGACTGTGCGGGAGGTTGGTGGGGCTGCTGAAGGAGGGAGGACTCAAGCTAAACAATCCAATTCTGTGCCATCAGAGGCACTCACACCCCAACCAGCCTTCTGGAAAGCACTCTGAGGCCCATCAGGTCTACCCCAAGTCCTTTCTCCATCGTGGTTTCTCTCTGGCTCCAATCAAGTGTTTTAAGGTACCGAGGTACAGATGAGCCTAATTAGAGCCTGAACTAGAGCCTAAATTTTAATGCACATTGGTTTTTGTCCCTTCCTCTGTCTCCTTACCCTCCATAGAGCCTATCCTTGACTGCTATCCAAATCCTAGAATTGTTATTTCTGCAACAGAAGCTGCACCAGAAATAAATTCATAAATGAATCTCTTTCCAACCCAGTCAATGAAATAGACTGCATTGGAAAGTTAGGAGGAATCTCACTAAGTTTTCAGACTCTCTTTATTCTTGAGCCAAGCTGAGCTCTGGTGAGTGTTCCCAAAGAAGCAGCTTTCTTTATACCGAACTTGGGTCTATGTGGAAGAGAAAGAGGAGAAACAAGGCCCAGTAAGACACTTGGAAATAAGCTACCCACCTCCACTGCCACTCCTGGGGACTCTTCCTCTCTTCCTCCTTTCCTTCAGTGCCAGTCTAGGGGTTCCCTTCCATCTCCCCAGGCAAAGGAAGCTTCCATTAGCCCTGAAGACTAAAGAACCCAATAAGAAACTACAACTCTCATGAATGTGAGGGTTTACCATACTGATTTCAAATATGCTGCTCTGCTGGGACAGATCCGTGTCCTGATTCTGAATTCATGATCAGCACCAAGCAACCTAGCCAGTGACTATATGCTGCTATGAAGTGGGGCTGTGGATATAAAAGCTTTCTGAAACTGGGCAAGTGCTGTGCAGACTGGGAAGATCATCACTGCTCTTACCTGCTCTTTGTTTCCAGTGTAAACGATTCTCTCCAGGTCTCAGCCAAGTCCTGGAGGGCAGCAGGGCACAGGCCAGCCAGGAACTCCTGTGAGCCAGGAGGTGTGGCACAGGGCTAGGCTCAGGGCGAGCTCCCTGAGCACTGGACAATGTGTTGACTTCAGGAAAATGAGCTCTCTGGGTATGTAGAATGGAGGAGGGGGGAGGCAGTGTGGTAAGAAACTGGACTGATTGATTGAACATGTTTTATCTTTCCTCCCACTCCAGACCATTCCAGTATAATGACAATGAAGGAATTTTAAAAAGATATTGACTCACAAATTTAAGACAGGACAAAAAGCATGGGAAAGGAAATAAGAAGGAATGAGACATTTCACCAGAAACATTAGGAGATGAAATATTTCAGCAAAAATAGGGAGTGGAGAGGGCTGATGGTGTGATTATAAAGCTTTCAGTATCATTTGATTTTTAAAGCAGATATGCATGATATTGGACAAAAATATTGCCATTACTGTTTTTTAAAAAGAAAGAACAAAGAGCACTCAGC